TTAATTTTATTGGAGCTCGGGATTATAGGTCCATTAGTCCCTGCGTCGTGCTAGTAATTCTACCAGACACGGAGGGCAAAATGGAAATTTTAAAATTACGAAATTCTAAAATTAAATACGTGAAAAATAATTAATTGAGAATTAATTATTATTTAAATAATGTGATTATTTAAATTTGAATTTGAACGCATCTAGATTTATCAATTTAAACTTATTAGATAAGTTGTTCAATTTAGAAATTCAAATTAATTTAAGTTTGACTTAAATTTGAATTTGAATTTGAAATAAAATTGGACTACAGGATAAAGGATGATTTTCTCTTCCTTCCCTATCCAGTATTGGCGCCACACACAGGGATAGGAATCCCTAGCATGGCCGGCCACAAGGGATAAGGGATAGAGGAGAATTTTGGTTCGAAATTCAAATTGGAGATAGAGATTGGATTCTTTCTAGAAGTTTGACTTCTACTTTATAAATACTATTTTTGAGACAATTTTCAGAATGGTTTTTTGCCCTAATTTTAGAGGTAGCCGAAATTTCTCTATAGAAATTTTGGAAACAATTTTTCAGCCCTAAGAGTTAAGGCTGGCCGAAATTCTCAAGAGAGAGAGGAAGGAAAAAAATTTTTCTCCAAAAATTCCACATTGTGCATGCGTTGGTGTTTGTGGAAATTCGAGTGTTTATTGTAACCCGTTTTGTCTCATGTGTGCCCACGCACGTCTTCGTGGATTCTAGGAATTGACGTGGAAGACATTGGTTTTCTAAACACAAAGATTGGAGCAAGGACTGTTCGTGGTCAAAGAACTCAAGTTTTCATCCGAGTCGGCTTCCAGGTATTTTTCCTGATTGAGTTCTTGATATATATAAGTTAATGAGATTAATTTATTCGTGCATAAATTAATATAATCTATAGAGTATCTCAATAGTTTTATGAAAATTTTTGTTATACACGATCCGCCTCTTCCCCGCTTCACCACGCTTCCGCAGCCGGATTCGATTCGGCAACCAACAGAAACATAGTCTAGGTTGTTGTGAGACCGGGAGGAGATCAACGGTTAGATAATCAAATTAGGATTTAGGTCGTTGTGAGGCCGGGAGGCGATCAATATTCCTATTTTTTAATTCTAAAGGCGAAGTTTAATTTGTGTTTAAATATTCATTTCGAATAGGGATATTATTTTGGGTATTTAAATATAGTTCCTTGTGAGGCACTCGAGAGAGGTTGCGAGGTGACATTAGAGCCTTGATTAATGAATTGAACAGAATTGATTAGCGATTACATAATAGGATGAACATAGGAATAATAAAGTGAAATCAAGTCCCTAGACCATTTGTGTATAGATACTTTATTTTTATATTTATTTTGTTTTTTTTTGTTCTTAATTATCATTTTATTAGGTTGCCTAGATGAAGTTAAGTTACAATAATCGCGGTACTTAACGGTAATTCTAAACCCAATCCCTGTGGAGATGATACTCACTCACCCTATACTTAAAACTTGACACTATACGCTTGCAGAAATTTATTATACAAAAATATCCAGCATCAGAGATGCCAAGTGTCACGGTAGGATCGACGTCCTGTAGCGTAAGCGAAGAGGCTAAGGCGTGAACCACTGGACCCATACCTCGAGAAAGAGCCTTTAGGTGACACGTTGGAATCCCAAGGTGACGTCTGGGATTGGAGAAGGCCAGTTGCACAGGGAATGATTACAAGCCCCCTAAACTGCCTAGAACAGATCAATCGGCATTACAGGGGGACTACAGAGCCGTAATGGGGGGACAAATTGGATGAGTGAACAGTCCAAAAGGCACTGGCAGGCTACGGATTGGACAGGTGAGTTGGTAGCCCACTTGAGTGGATGACCCACTTGGGAACCGCCAAAGAAGCCCAGAGAGTAACCCACAGTGGGAGAAGTGCACGGAAGGAAGCTCCTCGGCTATAAATATGAAAAAGCCTCCGAGAAAGGGGGTTGGCTCTCCATTTTCTTATGTAATCTGTAAAGAACCAAACAAGAGCAATATAATACAGTGGATGTAGCTCTTCATTAACAGAGTGAACCACTATAAAATTCTTGTGTGCATTTACTTTCAGAGGCATAGTCTCATTTCCTTCATAACCTAGCAAAAATCCTTCTGCAAATTCCAATATATTCAATAAAAACATAAGTTCTGAACCGGTAACCCAACGGGCTACTGTGGGTAATCCAGCACGGTTTTGTTGACGAGATTTGACCGTCAACACTATCCATGTTAAATCTGCGGTTAGTGATTCAAACAAAAGTTGATTATTAGATCAGTGCTTTTGCTCGATTTCAAGTTTATATATGCTAGCTTAAAGTTGATTCTTTGGTTATATATCTTTCCCTTGCTGTCAATTTACTTTGATTTGCTAATAACATTACACAAAATTTAGAGTTCTTCAAACGGAGGAGATGTGAGTGCGTGTCGTCTCCGTGCAGTCGCCGTCGGAGACAAGAGGAAGACTACAAACGGAGGAGACGCGAGTGGGCACCGTCTCCGTGCAACCGCCGTCAGAGGTGAGGGGAGAAGTTGGGTCTGGAGCACCGTGAGGGTGAAGCTGGTGGGTTAGCGTTGGTAGATTTGCCAATTAGCATTAGAGTGTGTTTTTTTTTAGTGGTGTGAAATGTAAATAAAGGATTTGATCTATTTATTTGTAATGTAATTTAAAAAACTAAATACTGATTTGTAATTGACATGCTTAGGAGAAATATTTTATTATTAATGTTAATTTCTATGTTATTACATATTTTTAAAAATATAAAATTAAACACAGTTTTAATTTTTTTTATATTGAAAATAATTTTTAAATAAAATTATTAAATATATTTTTTAAAATAATTTATGTTTAAGATTGAAAATGTTTTAATTTTTATTTTGATATAAAAAGTAAAATTATTTTAGAATGACCTAGCTTTCTCCGATCCAAAGCTTTCTCCGATCCAATATAAAAAAACTTGCGTAGTTGTTTGGTTCACCCCACAAACAAACAAACAAACAAAAATCCGATACGAAAACGATTCTCCAAAAATCTCTGATTCAAGTTACCAGGTAGAAATCCTAACCCTAATATAATCCCCATTTATATAACATACTATTAAGAAAGTCGGATTCTCAATTGATGAATTTATTTGGAAAAACTGAAAAATTGTCCAGGTCATGGTTTCGTGTTCAGCAGATCTGAAGATTTTGGTATCAAGAAAGAGACTGAAGGTTTTGGATTTACATTATCCGGATTCGCATTATAGTGCCGACGATTCCCCATCTTCTTCCTGCTCTTTTCATGCCCGGTAATGTATTATTGATATTTATATTACATGCCAAATAATTAATCTTTCAAATAAACCAAAACGAAAATTATTATTCGTTGCTTATCTTGTAGTTCTGGGTGCACGATAACTGGTTTTGTTTGTTTCTGATTTTGATTTTGTGTGATGAAGAGAAGGAGGAAGAGGAAGTGGGTCTTATCAAGTAATTTCTTATTCGTTGCCGTCTGTTTCTTTTTTATCTAAAGGAAAAGTGAAAGTAATTTATGTATATGAAACAAAGAGAAAAAATCATATGAAACTGAGTTTTATTTCCTCTTATTCTGTCTTGGAACGGAAGTGAATCCTTGTAAATTTCTTTCTTTTTTCTTTAAAGCCAAAAAGAAAAAAGAGAAGCAATTTATTCGTTAATCGTTACGTTCTGTTTCTGAAATTGATGTTTCTAGATGCCCAGAAAGCGGGTTTGTTTCTTCTCGTCGCGGCGGCGAGTGCGACTTTGATGACGGCGAGATGGATGAGATGAGCTGCCAATCAAATGGCGAGAGCAGTGATCTCGAGCATTCCTCGTATGGCGTCGGCGGTGGTATTTGTGTTGGTGGTGCTGATAAGAAGAATTATCCCCCCACTGCTCCTGCTGCTTCCATGGCACTGGCAAGCGGATGGATGTATGTTAACGACTGCGGCCAGATGTGCGGCCCATACATTCAAGAGCAGCTCTATGAGGGTTTATCTACTGGTTTTTTGCCAGAAGATCTTCCTGTATACCCTCTCCTCAATGGCAAAATAGCCAATTCCGTGCCCTTGAAATACTTCAAGCACTTTCCCGACCAGGTCGCCACTGGTTTTGCGTATCTCAATGCAAATCCGCTTGCTTATCAATCGGCTTCCTATGCAAATGTGCCCATATCGAGTCCTGCGCCCTCCCACTCCCTAAAACCCTATGCATCACAGGTGACTTACTTCAGGGGAAAAAAAAAAGAGTAACAGAACCTGAAACTAAATGTAATTTTATTTATTGCTAGTGTTCTGAGGTCACACGTATCGTTCTGTTGTATTTTTCAGTCAAGTAAAGAAGCTTGTTGGTTGTATGAAGATCATGAACGTAAAAAACATGGCCCACATTCCCTTCAAGAACTGTTTTCATGGCATCAATATGGTTATCTCCGTGATTCGATTATGGTAAGTTGTCAAATCATCACGTTAATATGAAATTGTGATATCTGGTGCATGGCTTCTTCTTCTTGTTTTACGCAAAACTACTTAAATAGTTTGTTGGGTCAACAAGAACTCTACACTAATATCCTGTGAGCAGCGAAATACACTTTTCTCTGGCACGTTTCTATTAGCAATATTAACACATTGCGCTTCTTTTTCTAATAACCTCTTGGCAGAAAAAAGTTGTTACTAGCATGGTGAAAAGTCAACAGGTTATATTTACTGAGTTGATTTCCTTTTATTCTTGGAGGTGAATGCTTGCATAAGTTTTGCATGCTACATACATCGTCACCATATTTCAGCTATGACTTCCCTATGCTTTTACTGATTTCTTTCTTCGGTTTGTCTTACTCATTAGGAAATTGTGTTGGGACGTATTTATGTTGTTTCTGATTGTTTTAAATTTTTAAATACACAGATATACCATACTGAAAATACTTGTACGCCATTTACGTTGCTATCTCTTCTAAATGCATGGAAACCTGATGCATCTGACACTGCCACAACAACACCTGATGCTGCAACTAACGAGACGGGCTCTTCCCCAAGCTTATCCGAAATGTCCGAAGAAGTTTCTTGTCAACTGCACTTTGGAATTATGAAAGCAGCTCGTAGGATCGTGTTGGATGAAATCATTAGCAACGTTATAGCTGAATTTGCTGCCATGAAGAAATCTTGGAGAGAGGTTAAGCATGAACCAATCAATCAGGCCGCAGAGACTTGCTCCTTGGATCAGAGAATGGTAATGTGTACAAATTCCTAATAGGAAATTACTAGTGTTTGTTTAGCTTCTCTATCTTAGGAAATATTTGCTGTTTTGGCAGTTGGAATTCGCTGGAGTGAAGAAACGTACTGCACCATTGTGTGAGACCACCACCCCTAGCCCTGCTGCTGACAATAAGGCAATTATTATTAAGTCTGTGGGGAGCATCGAGAATTTTTGGGGGTCACATGCAGTTGTTAGCAAAGTGCTTTTCGATTATTGCATGGAAGTTATGTGGAATGCTGTCTTTTATGATACTCTGGCTGAGTATTCATCAGCTTGGAGGAAGAGAAAACTTTGGTCTGGCATTCCAATTTCTCGGAAACCTGTTGGTAATTATGCTAAGATGGCTGAGAAACTACCTGGTGAAGATGTAAGTTACTTGAATAGTTCAGCCCAGTAGGGTGGCAATTTTCATATATTCTAATTTTGCGTGTTCAACCAAAATACAGATGCATAATGTTAGGAAAAAACAATTTTACCGCAAATAAGATGAAAAGTACAAGATTAGTGACCTAACATATAGCAAAGTACATAAAAATAAATTAAATAAACTAACACGTAGATTGTTTGTATATGTTATGACAATACCTATCTGAATGACATGCTCATTACTCAATTACACGGGTCAACACAAACATGGCCCAAATTGCCATCCCTGTTTATTTTGCTGCAGTTGTTGATGTTAGAGTCTTTCTTTGGTTGTTACAGTTACAAAGGCAAGAATCTTCTTCTCACGATGAAAGCATTTGTGGTTTTAGACGGTTGGGAATTGAATCAGATGATCATGCCCACAAGCTCTCTATTTTGACTTCTCCAGCATTTTTGGAATTGAAGTCATCTAAACAAACGAGCCCAACACACACACGTTATTTATACAATGACATGGATTCCATTGCAAAAGATGTAGAAAATGAGCTCCACTTATCTGCAATGGCATCTCTTACTGAGTATGTTAAATCTTTAGTTGAGGAGGAAGTAAGGAAATTTGTTGACTCATCTAAAGATGACAGATCTGCTCAGATAATTCTGTCGGGCACTTCTCACTCTTTGGCTCAGGTAGCAAAACCTTTCCACGAGCCTGTATCTGGAAATCGCATGTTGGAGTTGTTCTCAAGTGTATTTAAGGAACAATGCTTACATGCCGGTAATCCAGTGGCTGAACAAGAAAGTAACGAGCCGCCTCCCCCTGGCTGTGAAGACAACATTAGATCTTTTGCTTCATCACATCAGGACAAATTTCGAACTTTGAGATCTAATAAATGTGTTCCTAAGATGGGGGAATATGTTGCCATAGCAATGTGCCGGCAAAAGTTGCATGAGGATGTTCTTAGAGAATTGAAAATGTCATTTATTGGCTATGCTCTGCAGAAGTTTCTTCAGACATGGCGCTCTTCAAAAAAGCACTGCAAGCTTCTTGATTATGAGGTACTTTGCTTCCTTCTCTCCATCCCATCTTTGCATTGGAGCATTTCAAAGTGACTGATTTTGGTTAATACGTGTACTCTTGTAGGAAGGAGCACAAAATGCAAACAGAAAACTTCCTGGGGGCAGTTCACTACTACTAGACAAAATTGGGGAAGAACTGGAATGTTGTCCCAAATCTACCTCAGATAAATCTTCAACTGCAGTTGGTAAATACACCTACCACCGCAAGAAATCCCAAAAGAAGTCTGGATCTATTTCTAAGCTTGATACTACAGTTGGTGGCGGATTACTCGATCATTTAGCAGAAGAGTCAAAGAAAGAACATGTTTCCGGAGACGTTATTGTGGCTGCAAAGGCTCAAGTTGCTGCCACAAGTTCCAAAAAGATTGGGCTGAAAAAGGGTCAAAATGAGTCCTCTGCAAAGGATAAATCTTTGCAAGTAGTTTCTAAAGTAAAACGTAATTTGTCCAGTGACCGCTTAAAAACAAAGAATTCTAGCAGTAGGAAAGCGATGGTCTCTTCTAGAGCTCAGAAGAGTATGTAATCTTACATTATCATGTCTTTTGGTAGTTACATAGTTCGCCTTCATGAATTCCATATAATAACATCAGCCTTTGACTGTTATTCAGGTGGCAAGTTAGCTGAAGGTGCTAATAAACCTAGCAGAACACAGGTTTTGGCTCCCTCAAGTAAACGTGATGGTGTTCACAAAGTTGAAAACGATAATGACCATGATGTTAAAATTCAGGAAGATCTCCGTAAGTTCCTTCTAATTCCTTGAATTTTTGTTTTTCATTTTAGATCTTGTTTGACATTTATTTTCTCTTAAAACTAATCTGCTTTTCCATGATTTAATTACTCTATCTTAATTATTGATTATCATCTCTATTCAGCAACTAAGGCATCTAAGCTAAAGAGAGAACGTCCAATGGATAGTATGCCACCATCACATTCCAAAAAAGTTCTGAAAGTTGCAAATGGGGATGCCAAACAAGCACTGTCCAAGCAGGCTGTTGTGAAAAAGACCAAGTCCAGGAAATCCAAGATAGTGAAAAATGCTTACCCTAGATCTGATGGGTGTGCTCGGGCCTCAATTAATGGATGGGAATGGCATAGGTGGTCAGTCAGTGCAAGTCCGGCAGAAAGGGCCCACGTTAGGGGAATTAAATATATTGATACTAAGCGGTCAAGTTCTGATGTTAATAAGTCGCCTTTATCGAATGGAAAAGCTCTTTCTGCAAGAACTAATAGGGCAAAACTGCGCAATCTTGTCGCTGCTGCAGAGGGTGCGGACCTTTTGAAAGCCACCCAATTGAAGGTGATGAAAGGGATATATATATATATATATATATATATATTGTGTGTGTGTGTGCGCGCGCGCACTGTGTTTGATCATTATAACGTGTGTTATGTTTCATGTAGGCAAGGAAAAAACAATTGCGTTTCCAAAGGAGCAAAATACATGATTGGGGACTTGTTGCCCTCGAACCAATTGAGGCCGAAGACTTTGTTATTGAATATGTCGGAGAGTTGATTCGTCCCCGGGTTAGTCTTTTACTTGTTATGTTCATGTGCTAGTTTCCGAAGTTAATGTTGCTTGTGGTCTCCTTCTCTCATCTTTTCTCCATATGAAAGATGCTATTCTTCTGCTTTCAGCTAAACTTATTATGATCTCACAGATATCTGACATACGTGAACGGCATTACGAGAAGATGGGAATTGGCAGCAGCTATCTTTTTAGACTCGATGATGGTTATGTGGTCAGTGAAGTAACAAATGAAAGCTCTCCCTTTTCTTTTTCCCTTCTATTTCATCACCTATAAGATCTTTTGGTCTTTTTTGAATTGGCTATAGGTGATATTCTTCTTGCTCTATTTTCAGAACAAATTTCAAGCGAAATGATCAATAAATTTTCTTGACTACTATGTGGCATGTGGCAGTTCCCCGGCTTTGTTCTGATTTTTGAAAAATTTAGAAAAAATTATTGAAACTCTCATTCGTATTAAGTTTTTTTTTTTTTCCCTTCTTTTTTTGTGTGCGCGCACATGTGTATGTTTTTAATGCTTTATTACTGAAATATATGTAGGTTGATGCAACAAAGCGGGGTGGCATTGCACGATTTGTAAACCATTCTTGTGAGGTAGTGACATTAATTAATGATGCGAATGTTGAAGTAAAAGTTATTTGTTAGATTTCTTGGTCAGGATAATGGAAAGTGTTTAATTCTTTTTCAGCCCAACTGCTACACCAAAGTTATAAGCGTTGAGGGTGAAAAGAAAATTTTCATTTATGCAAAACGACATATAGCTGCTGGAGAAGAAATCACTTACAACTACAAGTTTCCTTTGGAGGAGAAAAAGATACCCTGCAATTGTGGATCTAAAAGGTAATATTGATACCTTACATGATCCTGCGTATTTTAGACTTAACATGGCTGATGCTTCAGGTGTTGCTTTGCGAGATGTCAAAGAGAGCAATCCTGGATTTCATCTAAAAGTGGCTTTTAAACTAATTTTCTGATCTCTTCTTTTGTTCAGGTGCCGTGGATCATTGAATTAGAAAGTGACTTGAGTTGCTCTGCTAGTTACTTTACATAAATGGTCGTTGGATTCTTAGTCTCTTATCTCTTGACATTGAGTTCAAATTCCATATGTTTAAGAGGTACGAAAAGCAGCTTTATTATGTACTTTGCAGGTTGTTTTAGTTTTCCGCAATAAATATGGGGAATTTAGAATAAGTGGAAAAATATTATATCTGAATATACATGTATACATGCATTTTCTATTTTAAAGCTTTGGATCCGTTTTTATATATACTTATGGCATCTGGAGCTTACTCGTTTTTGTCATTGTCCGTATAGGTATTCTGATGCCCTCTAATGCTATGATGTTGTGTAAGTCCTTGGATGGTTGTGATCTTAAATAGGGCCAAGTTGAACTTCTGGAGGAAAAAAAAAGATGGGGGGGGGGGGGGGGGGGGGGGTGTGATCTTATAAACTTATGAAAAAGATATGATTCAGAGAAGATTCATTAAGAACAAGAATTAAAATTTTTCAATATTATACAGAAGGTTGTTCAAAGAAGTAACCTTTCTTCAGATATAATATATATGATATGTATATATATGAAACAAGAGAAACAGAGAGAAGAATAATTCTTGCTTAATAATTCTCATTAAGCTTGTCAGAATATATACACTTAGTAAGCCATTGGTCACGGCAATTAAGAGAGAAAGTTAAGGAAAGAATCCCTAAATTATGCTAGACAATCCTACAATATCTTCCTAATTTATACTTTCCTATTTTGACTAAATCATACAATAAACAGAAAGAATAAATATTTACACATAATTGACAAAATCTCCAACACTCCCCCTCAAGCTTAGGAATAGATATTTCTCATTCCAAGCTTGTAGAGAAAACTTTCCTGACTAGGCTTTGGTAGACTCTTGGTTAGGATATCTGCTTCTTGTGCATGGGTTGAGATGTAGGACAACTCAATACCTCCTTCTTCAATTTCGTTCTTGATGAAGCTTTGATCAATCCTGACATGTTTCATCCGATCATGTTGAATCGGATTGTTCACAATGCTAATTGCAGATTTGCTATCACTATATACCTTGGTGGGAGAGCAAACTGTGATTTGCAAGTCTTGCATTAATCTTTCCAGCCATATAACCTCACAAATTCCCTGTGCGATTGCCCGAAATTCTGCCTCAGCACTACTCCTTGCCACAACCGTTTGTTTCTTACTTCTCCATGTAACCAAATTACCCCATAGCTTGGTGCAATATCCCGAAGTTGACTTACAATCTTCACTTCCAGCCCAGTCCGCATCAACATACCCTTCGATATTTCTGTTCTCATTTTTCAGAAACATCAATCCTCTTCCTGGAGTACCCTTGAGATATCTCAAGATATGGTTCACAGCCTCTAGGTGTCTCTGAGTAGGTGAGTGCATGTACTGGCTTACTACACTTACAGCGTGAGCAATGTCAGGCCGTGTGAGAGACAAATAGATCAACCTACCAACCAGCCGTTGATATCTTCCTATATCCACAGAAGGCACATCATCTTTAATCTTGCTCTTCCAATTTTTTTCAAGTGGAGTTCCCACCGGTTTGCACCCCAGTTTCCCGGTTTCTTCTAGTAGGTCAAGAGTGTATTTCCTTTGAGAAATGAAGATACCCTCTTTACTTCTAGCAACTTCCATACCGAGAAAGTACTTCAGGGGTCCCAAGTCTTTAACTTCAAACTCTTCCTTCAATTGGTTCTTGAGGTTGTGAATCTCAACAGTATCATCACCTGTGAGTATGATATCATCAACATACACAATAAGAATGGCCCTTTTTTCACCTTCTCCTCTTTTAATGAAGATAGTGTGATCAGCCTTCCCTTGAGTATATCCCAGTCGAGTGAGAGAAGAACTGAACCTGGTAAACCATGCACGTGGAGATTGTTTCAAACCATACAATGACTTCTTCAGTTTGCAAACTTTTCCTTGTTCCTCTTCTGACTCGAATCCAGGTGGGATCTTCATATACACTTCTTCATCAAGATTGCCATTCAAAAAAGCGTTCTTCACATCAAGTTGGTGTAGTTCCCAGTCCAGATTGGCTGCAAGAGACAAAAGAACCCGGATAGAGTTGAGTTTGGCCACAGGAGCAAACGTTTCTTCATAATCAATCCCATACGTTTGTGTGAAGCCTTGAGCTACTAATCGAGCCTTATACCTCTCTACTTCTCCATTTGCTTTATATTTCACTGTGAAGACCCATTTGCTTCCAACTACTTTCATATCCTTTGGTAAGTCAACTACTTCCCAAGTCCCATTATTGTGCAATGCTCTCATTTCCTCCTGCACGGCTTTCTCCCACTTTGGATCTTTAATGGCTTCATGGATATTTTTGGGAATTCTCTCATTATCGATCTTCGCTGTAAAAGCCTTAAATCCAGAAGACAACTTTGTGCAGGTTAGAAAATTGTAGATAGGGTGCTTTGTGCATGTTCTTACCCCTTTCCGTATTGCAATTGGCACGTTCAAGTCACTGCTTTCACACGGATCCGATTCTTGGTTCAATGATTGGACTTGTTGAGAAGCTTTTGGCCTTCTAGAATAAACCTGAAATGGTCTCTCAGAGATGGGTTGCTGCACCATTTCTTGATCATGACTCGAACTAGGATTAGGGACAGGAATTGGACTCGAGTTTTCTGGTGGTGTACTAGAGGCTGAACTAGAGGCCTCTTGTAACACATCTTGTAATATTGGAAGAGATACAGTGGGATCCCAATGCTCGTTTTCATTGGCATTCTCCCCCTGGAAACGAGTGGTGGGATAGAATGGTTGATCCTCAAAGAAAGTTACATCACACGAGACAAAAAATTTCTTGAGAAAGGGAGAATAACATTTGTAGCCTTTTTGGGTTGGAGAATATCCGACAAAGACACATTTAAAAGCCCTGGGATCAAGCTTACTCCTATTTGGTTGTTTGTTATGGACAAATACAGTGCATCCGAACACTCTTGGGGACAAAGAATTGAAAAGATTCACATTTGGAAAATGATCAAGAAGGACACTTAGAGGAGTTCGGAATTGAAGTGTTTTGAAGGTAGTCGAGATTAATCAAATATGTGGAAGTGAGGATTGCCTCCCCCCAGTAGGAATTCGGGACTAAACTAGTAAACATGATCGATCGAGCAACCTCCAACAAGTGACGATTCTTTCTTTCCGCAACCCCATTTTGTTTAGGTGTATCAACACATGAACTCTGATGATATATCCCATTATCCCCCAAATATTGGCCAAACTCATTTGAAAAATACTCCCCCCCATTATCTGTTCGAAGAACTTGGATATTGGATTGGAAAACATTTTGGACAAACTTTTGGAACTGTTTAAACCAGTAAAATGCCTCAGATTTATCTTTCATCAAGTATATCCAACAAACCCTAGTATGATCATCTATGAAAGTGATAAACCACTGGGTTTTAGTTAAATTAACTGTCCTAGACGGACCCCAGATATCACTATGAATCAACTGAAATGGTCTAGAGGGTTTGTATGTATGAGGTGAATATTTTACTCTGGTTGTTTGGCAAGGACACACTGTTCACAATGAAACAAAACTTTCTCTTTATTGATAAAAAGATTTGGATACAAGACTTTCATATAAGAAAAACTTGGATGTCCTAAGCGTTGATGCCATAACATAATATCAGAATTAGACATAACTGACATGGACATTTTATTTTGTGACTCGGCTCTACTGGAATTCCTGGCTCCTAAGAGGTAGTATAGGCCATCTTTCTTCTCAGCAATGCCAATCATCTTCCCCGAAGAACGGTCCTGAAATTCACAGTGAGAGGAGAAAAAAGTCACAACACAATTAAGATCGTTTGTTAATTTACTAACTGACAAAAGATTATATGTCAATTTGGGCACATGTAAAACCGATTTCAATGTCATATTCGGTAAACAAACCAAGCCCCTTCCAACCGCAGGTGACATTTTTCCATCAGCAACCCAGACATTAATTAGATTATTGCATCTGTCATATTGCTCAAAAAACTCCATTGACCCGGTCATATGGTCAGAAGCCCCTGTATCCACAATCCAACAGTCTGCTTGCAGGGATTTTGACAGGAATGCTTGACTCATTATACCTGTTTGTGCCATAGCTGCAGTGGGAGGTTTTGAAGTCTGATTTGCGGATCCTGTTGAAACCTGAGTTTGGTTGAGAAGCTGCCGTAGCATCTCCACTTGCTCTGTTGAGAGATTAAAACCAGCAGCCCTGTCCGATTCTGTCTCCTCCCTGCGGGTTGATTTCGACTCCACTATGTGGGCTGAACTTGATTGCCCACGTTGCTTCCTTGGTTTCCAATCTGGTGGCTTGCCATGTAAATCCCAGCAAGTTTCACGAGTGTGATAGGGCTTGTTACAATAATCACACCAGACCTTGTCCTTTGATTGAGAGCCACGGCTGCCATCTTGTTTGTATTGAAACCCACGACTGCCATCTTGTTTGTTTGCCACAAGTGCAGACCCTCGTGTTTCCAAGGAAGGTATGTCACGACTAGAGAGATTCATCATCACTCGTTTCCTGCTTTCTTCTCTCCTGACTTCAGCAAACGATTCTCGGAGAGTTGGAAATGGTTTCATCCCAAGTAGCCGTCCACGTACTTCATCTAAATCTGGATTCAAGCCCTGCAAAAAATCAAAGGTACATTTTTTTGTATTTTTCTGCGCCAGTAGCACACAGCCATCCAATCTCATAAAAGAGATCCATTTCTTGCCATAATTCTAAGAGAGAATTATAATACTCAGTGACAGTAAGACTCCCCTGTATGGTGTTGCGGATTTTTGACCTAATCTCGAAACATTGAGACGTGTTTTCAAGATCGGAATAGATTTCTTGGACTGCCTCCCAAATCTCCTTCGCTGTCTTGTAAAACAGATAAGTTCTTCCAATCTTTGGCTCCATAGAATTAATAAGCCATGCCATGACGATCGAATTTTCTGCCTCCCAAGTGCGGTAGTTTGGTGCTGTGTCCGGTGGTGCTGTGATTGCTCCTGTCAAGTATCCAACCTTCCCTCTTCCTCTGACAACAAGAATGACGGACTGAAACCATTCTCGGAAATTCAGCCCATTAAGCTTGTGCTGTGTGATTTGCAGCGAGTGGCTGTCCAGCGAGTGTGTAGATGAGGCTCCGGATATAGATCCTAGAGATGCTTGATCAATTGCTGTTGAAGACTCCTCTGAGGGCGTATTCGGCTGTTCTTCAGACTTTTTTTTTCTGTTTTCTTGACTAGTCACCAGTTTCGGTGGCTCTGATACCATGAAACAAGAGAAATAGAGAGAAGAATAATTCTTGCTTAATAATTCTCATTAACCTTGTCAGAATATATACACTTAGTAAGCCATTGGTCACGGCAATTAAGAGAGAAAGTTAAGGAAAGAATCCCTAAATTATGCTAGACAATCCTACAATATCTTCCTAATTTATACTTTCCTATTTTGACTAAATCATACAATAAACAGAAAGAATAAATATTTACACATAATTGACAAAATCTCCAACAATATATATATATATATATATATATATATATTATATCAGAATAATCTCGGAAAAAAAGTTCACTGGCAGCCCTAATCGGAATTGCCTAACTAACAATGATCTGAATGTATATCTTTTAGAAACCTAACTATAAGATGGTGTCAGAGGAGGAAAGCTTAGTTATTACATTTGACTAAAAAATGAAAATAAAGAATATTTCTGTTATCTTACTACTGGCAATAGTTAGAAAATAGTAATTCTTTAATCGTCTCGATTACTGTACCTTGTTTATGTTATCCTTGTTCTTCCTTTTTGCTTACCTATGCTAAATTCTTTGGACACGTCAATAGGATCTCATAGGGTAGATATTTTGAAATTGAAGATTCATACCATTACATGTATGAGCTGAAAAAGTTAAGAATGGAGAATAACTTTCTTGAGTTTTCCATGTGTTGCCTGCTTTCTTCAATGTGCGAGATATCCGTGGTAAATACTTTAATTGAAGGTTGATAAATGTGGTCACAACTTTTTATAAGAGACCATTGTATTTATAAGAACAGAAGATACAAAAGACAGAAGAAGAACAAGAAGTCCTATAGAACATGTTGAACCTTTATTTTTTTTTTTTTTTTTTTTTCTTGTACTTAATTTGGAAGAATCCCATGTGGTTCTCTGTGGATTGAGAGAAATAAACGGATTTTTTATTATACTAAGGAAGATAGTGTGGATGTTTGGGAAAGTATTAAACTTTGGGTAGCATTATATATATAAACTTAGGGGATGAGATTTGTTTTTGTAGGGTCTTGTAAGTTTTTGGAAGATAGGCTGACATTTTGTTTCCTTTGTTTTGCGTTTATGAGGACTCCCTTGTCCTCTTCATGTTTACCCATGTTTTTTGAAATTAATGAAGCTCTTTGTTTATTATATAAAATAAGTTTAATATGAATAAAATGATCCATATTACAATATGGCTACTATAATTTTTCATTTCATCGCTTGCAAACAGAACAAAGTATGTGTGTATGCATATTCTTATTTGTTAGATTTATTGGCTTTTTATATGGTTGGTACTTTGGTTACAGTTTAGATGCAACTTGTATGACATTTCCTGTTAAAGGCTCATGGCATTGTTAGAAAGTAGTCTTGCTTGGAGAGATTTTTCCTTTTGCATGGCATAGTATAAAAGGGGCAGAAACTATATCAATTTGATATCTGCCCATCTAGAAGTTAGAAATGGCGGGAAAAAGGATATTCTATTTTTGTTTTATTATAACTTCTAAAGTTGAATGCCTATTTGGGTTTTTGCGCGTCCATCTCACCCCATAAATTGGATTCTAGTAGTTGAAGGATGCTACAGAAGTCTGGAAACTGCAAATGTGTTGTCGTTGACTAATTTTGCCCACCTATATCTCAACAACCAAAGGTGCCAACTTTTCCCTTTATGAATCTCATGTTATTGCACCAAGTTTGTATTTTTGTTGTCTATCGGAGCTAAACTGGGGTTAGGATTTTTTGTATCTGAAACTTTAGTTGCGTGATTGATGTTAAGTTCCATATTGGGTTAGGATTTTTTGTATCTGAAACTTCAGTTGCGTGATTGATGTTAAGTTATATATCCGTTCCAGGTTTGTGGGGTCACAGTTGACATCAGAAGCTGGACAATCCGATCATGGTGACGGGTTTATCATTTGGATTTTTGCCCTTCGTGTCAAAGATGAATTACTGACCCATGTGCATTCTTATAGTTTCTGTGTTGCAGATGAGTTTCTCCTCTTAGAATCTGTAAATCAGTTTTGTAGTCATTTTTCTTGCTTACGTTACACTTTTGGAATACATGATTTTAACAATTTTTGTTTGTAAAAATTGGTTGCTTCTACTAATGTGGACACACCTATACGTCTGTTGAACATGTTCTGAATGGGGGAGGGAAAAAAGGGCAATCTTAACATATGGCCCCTTCTAATCTGAAGACACTTTTCTTTTATGGGCTTTTGGGGCATCTAACCAACCATGTGAAAATGTGCATCATGTTATTGTACCTTGTTTGTCTTTCCACTGTAGACACTGTGGTGTGAAATTATTCCAAGAACTTTAGGCTTGAATTGGTAGGAGGGAAAAGTGGAAAAATAATAGAATTGAAAAATGGAAAGAGGAAATAGGAGAGGGAGATTAATGGATGGATTTCAAGGCTTATTGTTTTTTGGCAGGAGAGATGAAAGGAGGGAATAGAGTTGACGAGGGATTCAAAATCCTCCATGGAACTCGAATCTTGATCCTTCTAAAGTTGGAGGGATTAGATGAGGAAATTCATACCAAACACGATAAAAGAAAGGTCCTCTCTTTCACTTAATTTTCTCACTCAGGTTGTATGCACTTTTTTCCTCATTTTTTCCCTCTTTCCAAACGAAGCCTTAGATAAGCAAGTTGGGCAGTATATATATATGTATATATATGGTAATGATCATGACATCTGGAATGATGGGTTTGCTTCAAATTACTGTCGTGTTGTGATGATTCATAGAAGGTAACTGCCTTTCGGGCAATGTGCTTTAATTCATGAAATTTCGTTTGAAACGATTGTTTTTTGTCACCTTTACGTGCCAATAACTAAATCCCATCAATGAATTTTGGGATACATGCCTTTTGAAACCAAAATGGTTGTTTTGATAAAATGTGATGATAATTGTTTGTTTGAAACCCCTGAACATGGGATCAGTAATTTGTTGGTCAACAGTCAAACGACAGCAATGAGGGGGAGAGGAAGTTGGATGCGTTTCATTAGGAGAGTATTAGAACAGGAACTTGAACAGCATTTTTTCAGACATGCAAATGCAATTGCTCAAAGGGATCTAAAAACGACAATTGACATTGCTCAAAGGAGAAACTTGTTGTATGGTCCTACTTGATTAGAATCGAATGTTCCGCGTCACTGGCAATTACACCACAAGTGTCAAATATATGTGCTTTAGTTTTTCCCTTCATTTTATATCATTCTTATAATTTTTCATTTTTTATAATTTTTTTTTTTTTTATTGTTTGCAGGAGGAGAAGCACTAAGCTAAATAAATCATGTATTAGGTGCTGAGGTGTTGTTCCATTTATGCCCTCTGGTATGCGTCTCTAAATTTCTCTTTACTTTTTACAAATATTTGCAATCATGGCTTTTACACGTGGGAGGAGTGATCATTTGAATTCAAAGGGAGAAAAATACCATATAAGTATCCCCTGTTTTAAGTTAAATTCTACTTTTCTCTATGCGAAAAAAAAAAAAAAATACGGTGTAATTTACAAAGTGTCAAATTTTTATCCGATATATTTTCCAAAAGAAGAAAAAAATCGATCCCATATTTGAACTATTCTGCTCAAAACTTTGTTTTAGAAATTATATTAATACTAACCTTTTTGGTCAACAATGTATTAAACGGGGATAACAACAAGCATGTAACTGCAAACAAATAAACCATGTTTGTGCTAGATAATCAAAAAGACAAGCCAAGGGGGGAAAAAAAAAAAAAAAAAAACAGAGAGAGAGAGAGAAGTAAGAGAAAACCTTGAATTATTTTCCAAATCACATGCAAAGCTTTCTTCACATCATACGATAAATATATCATACGTAGCTCCCCTATATGCAAAGCTCTTATAGAATATTAGATAAGTATATGTCGCAAAATAAATTTAAAAAAAATATTAAAGATGTCAAGTGTTGTTTGGTAAAGAGTTTAGTGCACTTGCACACGGTTTTATTTGGATAATTGGATGCATGGCCACGAGGGTACTTTTGGTATTTTCGTGTATTTTACCAAGTCTGTTCGGGTCAATGGGATAAACTTTGATGTTTGGCAAATTACAATGAAAAACGCAGAACGGAAAGTGGATTTAACAAACGGAGACATTCTAGTTTTTTTTTTTTTCCTCCAGAGACAGAAATAGGCCCAAAATTATATTTTCAATAATATTATATTTATAACTTACACTTAAGGCGCGTTTACCAAACTGTAAAAGAATATTGATAAAAGAATGTAATGGGAAACGTAACGAGATGGAAAGAAAAGTAAAGTAATAAGGTTAAGAGTCATTTATTTCTTTTCAAGTGTTTACTTGACAATTAGATGTGTAATGAAAAATAATTTCATTCCTTTTTTATGTTTATTAAAATTAGAAATAGTAATGTCATGAATGTAATCACTAAAATGTCATTTTATACAATTTGATAATCATTAACTATATAGTAATTCATTAAGAGTAGATAATTAAATTTAGCATTTATTCTCTTTGATTTCTATTCTCTTTGATAAGAAATCAATACTAAAGAGGGTGTAAGATTTGACATTCTCTTGCCTCATTTCTTATATTGTGTGAGGCCTATTAAATTTCTATTACTAATTTTATAAATAAACACATTATTAGATGGAAAGAAATCATTCGTCACTTTTTTTTCCCTTTGATGCAAAGTAAACATGTTTTTAGAGTATATGGGTATGGATTTTTTGTATTCTTTACACTTGATTAATATCCTTTTAACTAATATAGTTATTTGATTAAAACGAGTGCTAATTAAAAATAAAGAGTAAAAATTTAGACTCGTATATTTTAAGAAGTATTTGTCTTCTTTTCCTATTTTAAACTTTGAATCCGGTTTTTTTGAAATCTATATCTCAAAATTGGAGAAATCGCTAGGCTAAGCCAGCAATTAATTTACCGATAATTTTGAGTTATTTGACTGTAGAATGAACAGATTATTATTATTATTATTAAAGCGACGAAAAAGTTCATTGTTGCATTTCCATGCATTTACGCGGCTGGTGCATTGGGATGAATATGAATGCTACCAAATGGGACTTGAATTTTGCGGCCTTGTGACCAGTCGAGTTGGACCATTTTAAAATATTGGCTCTAAAAAATATTGCACACAAAACCAAATAAAATAAACAAAATAAATCCATTGAAACCATTCATTGTGGCAAAGACGAAAATGTCGTCAGGGTTGTTGAGGTTTTGATGAAATGTTGATGTCGACAGATATTTGAGAAAAAAAATTGATACATCAGGAAAATCTCAGCAGTTTTTGTTAAAATTATACAAAATGTTAAAACAATCAATATTATTTAATTTGAACTAATTTAATAAGAAAAATAATATGTTTTCTATTGGAATATGAGAGTTATGTCGAATAGTATAGTAAGAAATTATCATAAATATATATGGATTATGATTTAAATATAATTTTACATACTCATTATAAATAAGGAACAACAATTCAACCTACTATATAGAAATTAACTACTAAACATAATATAGTACACACAAAATTAAAGTGCTTTCAATGCTAAAACGAGTTTCTAGCAGGTTGGAAAACATTAGGTAGGTTCTGGTCTTGATTTAAATAATAAATTTGTCAAAATATAACCCTTGAATAATTTTAGATGTAGTAGTTGATGTGCTACATGTATGCTTCTTGATCTCTTCCCATTGTTAATCCATAAATTGGATATTGTTAGTTTATCAAGCTTGATGGCTTTAGGGATGTGTAATGACATTTCAACACTACACCATCTTGGTATTGTATTCAATTTTATTTATTTCTTCATTCAATTTGAAGTGGAATCCTTCTTATTCTATTTCTTTCTATAGTTTTTTCCCTTTTGTTTTGCTAAGAATAAGAAAGCATTCTCAAAATACTTCAATTGGTACATGCAAGAAATAGGTTAATTCAGCAGTTTTTTATTCAATTTCTCGTAGGAGTCAAATTCTCATCGGTACGAGCCAAGAGAATGGACCCCTGGCCTATGATTTTCATATAAAGGACACGACGAGCATAAATACCCTCTTTAACTTCTATTATGATGGATTGAATGTCTTTCATAAATAATCGGAAGAAGATGCGATCATGAACCAGAATAAGACAAAAGTATGTCGAAGTTGACTGTCATTTCATCAAAATAACAAGCAAGAAGTAGAATTGTAGAGAGTGATCTGTATGCCACTCATTCCATCTAACAAGCAGCTAATCGGCAGAAATTCTTAATTGTTACCAGACGGATTTCCTATGTAGAGACAAAGTTCTGGGATGTTGACAAAGCAAGTTGGGGTTGGTTGATAAATTTGGTACCAATATTTTTAAGGTGACCCATAGTTATGAAGTTAAGTACTATCTAGCCCAATTCGAAGTACTTGTTAAGCCCCAAAAAAATAAATAAAATAAACAAAAAACCCTAGTGGCTTTAGGTCTCAGTCTCACCAGTCCGTCTCAACTCTTACGTACTCGTGGCACAAGTATGTAACGTGTAAACCATGTGATAACTAGTAACATTTTTTTATTAGTAATGTGAATGGATGAATCGAATAGTATTATGGCATGTTCACATATTAGGAGTAAACATGCCATTAGCGTGTCATAGTTCTTATGTTAGCACTGTCCAATTAATGCAAAAAGGATGGCCTTTGATTTTATTATCAAGTACAAACATTATATATATATATATATATATTAGTATGAAGATAATCTTTATAAATATATTTTGAAAGTGTATGTAGGGATTTTTATTCTTTACTCTTGATTCATGATTTTTTTAGTCAAATAATTATATTAATAAAATGGTATTTATTAAGAATAAAAAATAAAAGTTTAAGTTGATGCACTCTGTAATTTTGAATAGCGGGGCAAGTATTGAAATGGGTTCAGAGGACAACTCGAAATAAATGCAAAATCCCCAACTCTTAAAACCTAATCAACTTATTGTCAAACAACAATCCCAATATGAATACATACCAAAATTCCAACACGAGAATTCTTGACAATCGTATATTACATCCAATTACCCTCGTCATTCTTGACAGTCATGTTTATTATTGTTCAGAGCCGTACTGGTTGGATTTTCCTAAATTCCACAATCAAATATTCCTGTTTTGCTGTTGAATTTGTTTAATTCTTGTGCTACTGAATAAAATTTCAGGTTTATTGTAATTCTGTGATTTAGTCTTTTATATTTATACCCCTTATAAATAAAAATGTTCCCAACGAACCAGGAATAAAGAGGAAAGCTAATTTTTTTTTTTTTGCAGTGATTGATTGAAATTTAAGGATTATGGGTCTGAAATATAAACTGTGGATTTTGTTGCGTTAACGGATAGTTAGGGAAGAAGAATAGTTTTAATTCAACTAATAAGACTTTCTTCCATCGCATTCGCGCCTACTTAACCTGCAGCTTCTATGCTTTCTTAATTATAATTATAATTACAATATTAAAAGAGTAATAATATTGTTATTTATGGGATGTTTAGTATGCAGTAATCAGTATGAGTTATATTACAGAAAAAAATAATTGAGGGTAATATTATTCTTCATAAGAAACATGTTTTATCACGTTTGGTTACACACAAACATAGTAGTAGTTACATCCCGTTTAATGCAATATTACAGATTCACAGGCAGCTCTTTCATTTGATTATAATTACATATTTACAGGAGGACTAATCTCATCCCGGTAACGAAAAATCTAAGAGAAATTTTATTTTGAGGAAGTTGGAGCCACTTTCTAGTAATGCAAGGATTGCAGATGTCGATATCTCCTGGTCCCAAAACTATTTGGGGCTTTTTACTCTAAAATATTCGGTTTTTACATAATGGACCCCGAATTTTTAAATTTAACAAATTACACCTTAAATTTTAAAATTAATTACAATTAAAATCCAATAGCTAATGTTGTTATCAAATTGACAGTTCGAGATACAAGATTTACACATGGCATGGTTTGAAAAGTGACGATATTTACCTTTCATGTGTGAATTGTGTGTTTTAAACCCTTAATTTAGTAACATCTATTACCTATTAGGCCTTAATTGCCACTGATTTTAAAATTCATAGTGTAGTTTGTCAAAGTTAAAAGCTCAGGACGCATTATGCAAAAAAAACAAATAATTTAGAGTGCAATGGTGCAATCTATCATTTAAATAATCAAATCCAAAATAAACCAAACCAAACCAAGTTTATTTTGTTTTTTTAATTGGTTTATACTAATATTTATTATTCCGTTTTGAACCATAATTAATTGTAATAAACATTCATCTATTGCTCAATTATAAATATCCTTAATTCAAGAAATAAATACTCAATTCATAACATAAATAAATCTTCTATAACAAAAATAAAATATTCAACTATGTCAGATAAAACGTACCTACAAACCGGTCTATTACAAAATAGTGATAAATAAAATAACTAATTATATTTTGAAAAAATTGTATAAAACACATATAACTTGTGTTTTATCTACAAACGGGTCTCTTACAAAATAGTGACACATAATAATATATAGTAAAATAAGTAATTATATTTTGAAAAATGTATAAAATACATATAACTTATGAAAGAGTTTATCTTATTTTGAGTTGTAGGTAGCAAAGTGAGATAACTCCTTTTTTTGGGGACTAAATTCAAAATTAACCGTAGGAAAAAAAAAATTAATACCTAAAAGAATGATTTGCTTTTAATTTCGTGTTTTTCCCCAAATTTTTCCTATGCGTCTTTCATTATCTACATTCATTTTCATCTTTCGGGTAGAATTTGTGATGCAGTGGTGTCACTCTTTTTTCTTTTTCTTTTTCTTTTTTTTTTTTTTTTTTTTTTTTTGCTAATCATGCAGTGGTGTCACTTCAACACAAAGGATGTGCATGGAATATGGATGGTCCGCAGCGTCGAAGGTCTGGTTCACTTTAAAGATTAAAAATAAATAAATAAATAAACAAATAAATCAGGTTCACATTTAACATTCTCAAAAGTCAAAAGCAGGCAGTGCAAATCAAGTCATTTTTAATTTTTAATCAAAAGATTAAATCAAGTGATCTTCATTGAGTACAAATAATTGATTACATAAACAATGAATGACAAGACAAGACACCACATTGGTGGCCCTTTTGCTTATTTGGAATCAATATTAATATGCTCATTTTTCTTTTCTGCCCCTTATCCCGTTACCAAATGCTTATGCTATATTCTTTGATGGAAACAGAGATATTATCTTTATTTCTTAACGTACTTGTAGATGACAAACTGGTCCCTTTCATTCTAGGTGGTCATTTGGATCGAAAACGCGGTTATGGCAAGTGGGGTTGCAAGGATAAGGGCAATCTATCTTCTGGAATGCACTCCTGTCATAAAACCAGTCTCCGACCGCCTTTGCAATTGTCTGCACCGGAGGAGATTTTCAAAACAAGAAATGAAGAATGAAGAATGAAGAATGAGATGAGAAGAACATTGTCCTATTACGAGTGTGTAATGAAGTAGTAATTAATGACGCAAAGATGAAGAAGCAGCCTCTTACCGTCGCCCCCAGCCTAGGAGAGTTGGCCCTCAACCACGTCTCCTGCATTTCAGTTTGGCAGTGGGCATAGCATGAATCTATGAACAACCCTTTGGAAAGGGAGTTGCCCACAACACTGATCGCCTTTAGAAACTCCAACCTAAAATCTGTTAAAAAATAAATTTAAGTAAATAAATCAGCCTTGCATGGTTTTTCAATTGCGTGAAAGCCTTCTCGATCGATCACCTTGCATGGTTTTGAGTTGAATACTCGAGCATTTCGTTATATCAAGCTTGCAGTAATGCCAGGTTCCATGAGGATCAGCAACACCAGGTGCCAAAATGTTCTTTATCTGAACAAGCACTACATGGTTCAGTTTAGAGAAATAAAAGGGAAGACTTGGAGATATTACAAGACCTTAATATCGCAGGATTCATCAATTAAACCAAAAATTATTAGTTTTTAGCTTAGAGAGCTCTCAAACAAATAATACTAAATAACTAGATCAATTCACTTAAAAGATACACGTAAGCTATAGTAGGCTTCATTCCGTGATTAATATGCTAAGCAAAGATATTAACCATTTTCTCTTCATTTTCAAACATACTTGTCTCAAACACGCAAATAAATTGAATGGATTTTACAAATAAACACTAGACTGTAAAAAATAAATAAATAAATAAAAAGCATCAAACTGTGATCAAAGTGCTTATTATGAACTAAAATAAGCTAACCTGCCATGAATCGTAGGCTGCATTTACAAAGAATATTGGTGTTTGGATTTGTGAGACCACATATTGTGGGAAGAAGCACTACAAAAATAGGGATGAAATATATATTGTTAGAACTTAGAATAGATAGAGGATATCAAGATGTTGAAGAGAAAATAATAAACATCAATAATCAAATTACTTACCAGCCCTGGACTCAATCTGGAAGTACAAGATGAAGGTAAATTCTTTGCAGAACCCTACAGACAGAAAATGTTCAAAACCAGGATTTGCAAGTTAAAAAGACTATCAGAAAGGAACGAGAAGAAACAGAAACTCTTTCTTTAATAAAAAGAGGGGAGAACATAGGAACTTGTCAATGATCATACATATATACCATGTGTGTGTGTGCGTGCGCGCCTATATATACACACACACACACACACACACACATATGAAGGGGAATCAAAGGAAGGAGAAGTATACATGTGTCGCGACGACTTCAGTATAAAAGGTTTCAATGTGTTTTGCTCCAGAAACATCATTCCTGTTATCAACAGAAAAAAAGAAAAGTTTTAGAGGAACACTCACAAGAAAATTTACGTGCAAGTGAGCTTGAGGGCAAGAAATAACTAACAAATGCTTACGTATTTATAAAATAACCAGCATCTGAAAGGCATTTTACTTTAGTAGTTGAAGGCATGAGAGATTTAAATTTATCACAGTGCAGAATGGACGCCAATCCACCAGCCGAGCAGCCGGAGAGGATCGCCTGTAGATTACAACTTACAAGTTTAGTTCAAGTAATGATAAAAAGAGGAAAAATCAGACAGCTAGACAGTGGCTCGTACATTTTGAGCATTTTTCATTCCTTTGGCTTGTAGATCCTCGATGATTGCAAGGAACACCCTTGCACCTCTAAAGTGGAGATTAGTAGCCTGCCAGTGCCAGATGACAATTCCATCAAAACCCCGCGGATTTACATACACACATGCATCTATATATACACACGCACACACATTTTAAAAAGGGAAAACGGCAAATATAGCACCGGTTAATGATTAACATACTGGATTTACTGCTTCCACATCACCGGTGAATGACGAACCGTCACAGTACCTGACCTTGATCCGATTCCAATCGTAGAAGTCTGGCATTGAAACAGAGATTAAGTTTTACTGCTTAAGGAAATTACACTCAAGTGACTTCAAGAAGATTCACATTAAAGTTTTTTTGTTCTTGTTAAAATTTAAATCTTAAGGGAGTGGTACTAGCTAATATTACTTCAGCCCCCCCCCCCAAAAAAAAAAAAAAAAAAAAAAAAAAAAAAAAAAAAAGCCTAAAGGAAGTGATTAATGAAATCATACCAGGATTGAATTTCTGTTTGTTGCTAAGAATCCCGGAAAATGAAAGCTCCTTTACCATTGCCTTGGATGACCCTAAACGAGTGTTCTTACGTGCGAGGCACGTAGTCACATTGTTACACCATCCTCCTCCCTGACCATCAAGAAATAAAATTAGCTCAAACTTAGCTTAAACGAGCGAGATCCTTGTCGTACTAGATTTGATGAGGGAAAAAGAAGAAAAAAAAACAGCACATTTCAACTACTTGGAACCACTTAAGCAGGTTTGTCATTAGTTATACAAAATTAATCTAATTAAGAAATTGGTATAACCTTATTTGAAAAGAAAAGGAAACAAATTACCTCAATCTGAACCAACCAATTGTTGACTCCAGAGCCAAATCCATGAGAAAAGTGGTAAGCCGGCGGGCTTCCGTCCAAGCAAACTGTTAAACAATAAAACAAAAACATTCTGGTTGAAATGAATACAGAGATGAATGAATGATGCCAGGGAAAAATGCCAACAAGAAACAGAAAATGAGTTAGGGTCGGTGAATTGTCGAAGAATATTATTGGTGTTACCGGCTCCTTTGGCGACCGCATCTTGGACGTAAGTTATTCCTACAGGAATCTTGCAGCAGCAATGGGATTGTGAGTGTACAAACTAGTAGAAGCCTCCCCAGCCACTGGCCAAATCTTGTATTGACCATTCTGCAAAATTACCAACCAAAACAAATTCTTTATATAGCAATTGATAAAGTAGGATATAACAGAGAAGAGAATTCTTCTTTTATGTTTTAAAGAAGCGAAAAAACGAAATAGAGCAGAATATTCTGTCCAGTTAGTAAGTTTTGGCGTTGAGTTGGCCATTGATTGGACGAGATCTTGATGTTATCAAAACAGAAAATTCCTCTTTCAAATATCAAGAGTAAGCTATTGCGATTTTACACTAGATAATTCAATCATAAATGCTGGTGGAGTAGTTCCAAAGCAGATTGAATAAATAAAACAACTCTATGAAATAGACTATATAAGTCTATACATGTACATATACATACATATATATATATATATGCCTAAGTCAAAAATGTAGCATAAATAGTAAAACCAATCATGGCTCTATCATCATCATAATCATCATCATCATAATCATTTCTCAAAAAGAGAATAGCTAAGAATCAATCAAGTATAAGAATACATACGATTGAGAAAGGAATAACAACAATTAAGAGCCCGTTTGGTTATGGATTAGAACCATGAGATTAAAATTATTTTTAATTTACGTGTAAAAAATACTGTAACAAACCATATTCCACTCAGAGAGAACGAATCATCCAACTAAACGGGCTCTGAATGATTATAATAACAGAGGAAATAAATAAATAACAACAGTAATGATAATAATAATGGCATTATGGAAATGGTGAGTGCTCGACATTAAGCAAATTACATTATATCGCAAAAGAAGAAATTAGCATTTGATTAGATTTATGAGAAACGTTGATAAAACGTTTCCTTTAATCTTGTCATAATGAAATGCAGAAAACTCAAAGGCAAAGAGGAAAGGGATGATAATATTGATTTGATTCATTATTTGTTACCTGAGAATTCAGAGTCCAAATAATCTCTCAATTCAAAGCACTCACTGAAACAATGCTTATGCAGAGAGAGAGAGAAGACAAACTCAGTTGAGTTCAATGCTTAAACATTATTGGTTTTAACTTTTTGAAGCAAAATATATAGTAAAGAGACCAGAGATCCGCCCCCAAAAAAAAAATAATAATAATAAAAGAAAAAGAAAACTTGCAAGAATGGAGAAGAGAGGAAATGCCCTTTATATAGAGTGTGCGTAGAGAGTAGAGAGTGTGAGCTTAACACTCTTCTCTTCGGGCTTCAGCTTATGAGCTTAAGCAGCCAACCCGAGAGGGAGAGAGATATAGCCGACATTTGTTCTCTCTCTCTCTCTCTCTCATAAATTATTAATAATTACATGACATTAATTAATTAATAAACCAAAAGCCGATCCGAAAGGGCTTGGGAATCTTCTGTGCTGACCCGACCCGGATAGGGCTTAGACAGCTGCAAAGCACACGCCTAGAACCAATCCTTGTCGGTTCACGCGTCATGAAATCAAATGACTGCCAGAAAATTAAAAATAATAATAATAATTAATTAACCTAAGAGCAGTACAACGATAAGTTACATGCAACGACCAAGTTAGGATTTTATTTTAGTGGGAGCACTTACAAATTTTTTTTTATATTTTTAACTGTTTTTTTTTTATAGTTATAAACAATTTTCTTTAAGAAATAAATTATAAATACTCAAATTAAAGTTAAACTCTAAGATTAAGAAATAAAATGTACACATAATTAATTAACACAAACTTATTATGTTAAAATAGTATTAACTTAAAATCAAACAGAGCTTTTTATAAAAGCTAGAAGAAAAAAGTAGATAATAAAAAAGAAATCAAATATTATTTAAGATTATTCAACTAAAAGAATAGTAACTTTCTAAGAGATTAAGTAAGAAAACTAATTTAATAACTTAAAATAGTGGAATAGGTTCAAGAAAAAAAAATAATCAATCACCTTTTATAAAAAATATATTTTGATGGGGCACATTTATAAAATTATGTGAAATTATAAATAAAGTTAAATAAATAAAAAAAGTTCCTCATAAGTCCTCGGGTAGCTCCGTCTATGAATAGAGGTATAATTAGATGGAAGAGTTGAGTTAAAAGGCAGTGAATAACAACTTTAGCAAACTTGATAAATGCCGCAAGAATGAAAGGTATGATTTCTCCATCTTATAATAAAGCGAATTTATAAGGCCTTACAATAATAACATTTCATCTTCTTATCCTGATCGTGATCATCCGGACTACGTAAAGCGCAGGGAGGCCAGCAGTAGGAGCAATGCATCCATCACAGACACGTCAGAAATGGCGTCCGAGCAGTTCTAGTCGTGATTGTGGGACCCGCCCGCTTTGGAAAGTGAAACGTGGAAAATGGCTATTTGGTGGGGGGGGGCGGATCAAGTTTTCAATGAGGCACGTGATTGACGGTGATCAATACCTAGCTGTGGCTGTAGCGGGCCCCACGCGTATGTATTCTGCACTTTGGTAGGTCATCTCTTCTAAATCTAATCAATACTTGCCAACTGTTTCATGTTCGTCTTGCACCGTCAACATCAAACAATATTACAATTCAACTAATCTCCATACATTTATTTACTCTGAAATCAAAGCTTTTTTTTCTTCTACCTAAATTGATTTCTTTTTATAGATAGATACATACATTTCATCCTCTCCAACTCGACCCGATCTCTCATCAACTTCTAAATTCAGGAAGCCAGCACTTCTCATGAAATTTTCTTTTTGACTTTTATGAATACTAGTTGAAATTCAACTCGCGAGATTGTGCAAGTCAAAATAAAAAATATATATATATTTATTAATGTCTCATTTAGAGAATTAAAAAACGTATAAGGATAAGCAACAAAAAAAAAAAAAGGAGGAAGACAAGAAAAAGTATAATAGGACAAAAAAAGACGAATGTAAAAAAGGTATATAAGAAAAAAAAAAGGAAAAAAAAAAAAAAAAAAAAAAAAAAAAAAAAAAAAAAAGATTCGCACGGCAGTGTGCGAAACCCATTTTTCCTTACTATATAGATATAGGATGGGATATCATCCATGAATCGTATGCCAAGTAATTAAAGCTGATCATACTCTTCTTATATTCTATTGTAAATGTAGTAATTAGTTGCAAGAAAACATCTACACTATTATTATTATTTATTATTCTATGATTGCAATAATACATTATAAGAGTCAACATTTTAATACGACACTTAAAATTCTAGCGTCAATTTCATTGAAATTATTGCTTCATGAGACAAGTGGTTGACAATTATTATAAATCCTATTTATTGATTTTGGATGCATTTCAAAGTGGCTGCGTGCGTAGGTTCGTATTCTTCTACTCCATACACAAATATAAATTAATTCGACTATTGACTTCTGATCATAGTTCTAATAATGTAACTAAAAATTAGTTTAAATTTTATTTCTTATTTAGATTTTATAGTACTACAAAACGTAAATTTAATCCACACAAAATTATATATGGGTTAAAACTCAAAAGTTTAAACCCACATAATTTAAGCTCGTAAAATAAAAAAGCCCTTAATAACATTACGTAAAAACACGTTCTCCTTTAATAATTTTATATAAATTTTCTCAAGTAATAAAAAATTTTAAAAAGATGAGGTGAAAAAAATAATGGACAAAAAAGATGTAAATAAAAAAAAGGAGGACTAAAACTAAAGCGAAACGTTAAAAAGTAAGAGAAAAAAGGCGAAATGTTTAATCATTGAAGATATCCATTGAAAAACGAGTTGTTTTTTTTAAAGGAAAATAAACTAGTTGTTTTTTTTTTATGAGAGTTTATGGTAGGGGCAATCTTTTTCCCCTACTAGAAAGGTAAGATCAATAGTTATGTGTAATTAGATTTATGTTGGATCTCCATGTTTTAAAGAGAAGGAAAAAAAAAATAAAAAAGGCAACAAAAAAAGGGAAAAAAAAAAAAGACGAAGGAGGAGGTCAATAGATGTCTCTCTAAGTTGACTTGGTTGCTTTTTAAATTTAGAGGTTAGATTGAATATATAAATAGACGTGAAAAGAACAAATAAAGGGGTTTTTTGTGAACTTGAATTGTTTTAATTGGAGTTATAAGGTGAAATTTGAATCGAGTGTTTAGTAAAAGATTAATGTGACATTTAAAATTTGAGTTTTATATTCACTTGCACTGATTTAAACTCACAACTTACACACGATATTGCATTGGATTTATATTAAAAAATTAATGAACATTCACGCCGGCAACCAATTTCTGTCAAATACCTATTGCAATGTGCATATATGCTGCCATGTCGTTTCCTATATAAAAAAAATCTGCCTATATATATAGATACTAATCAATTCAACTGTTCTTCATTACAAACCCATATTAATATGTTACGAAATACTTAAAACCATGGCAAGTGCACCAAGGAGGGGATTGATGACGTTGAAGTTCGGTGGTTTTATAAAATCAAACGGAAGCTTATCTATATCACCGTAAGTACGAGGAAGAAGTACTTAGAAATGGTAGCACTTAAATATTACCATTCATCCCGTGACCCCCTATTGCTTAAATTTTGGTAAACAATGTATAAGAAAATAAAAAGTTGTTCGTCTACATTCATATTCCTAGTAAATCTTAGATATCCTTGAAGCACAACAATGTGCTAAGGCGCTTAAAATAATCACTACGCATATGAATCTTGTTCCTAATAACGTTATCATGTCCATCAAGTAAGTAATCAACTCGCATATACCTGTCATGGCAGACGTGTGCTTTGATCGAGGTGATGGTCTATCCATGTACGTGTAGTAATACCACAACACACAAGCGACGGCTGCAAGTTCATATTCATCATCCGAGTTATCTCTATCTTTATTATGATTTGATTGATGTGAAGAACTTTCATTCCACATGATGTCCTGCGAAAAAAATGGATAATCAACATGTGAGTTATAGTAGAACTTGAGACTCACCATTAGACATTAATTATTGTAAAATTACTACAGCCCAAGTATGCAATGACGAAATACATAACAATCTCTGTTATGAGCTGGTTCTGCAATATAATGGGGTCTCATGTTATTACTATAGAAATCAATGTCTGGTTTGCCTTGACGTTATCTCTAAGGAATGACTGAGCCTAAAGAACCATGCATATCCTAATGCGACAACGGAATTTGCATCACAACATTTGACAAAGTCTTCCAATGACAAAAAATGTTTGATAGCTCACGAACTATACTCATCGAATGTTGATTGTCTTACGGAGAGGTAGTAATAAGTCACACAAGTACACAAACGACAACAGAAATGTGTGACCAGATATGCAAACGACACAAGTACACTTTGTTAGTTTCTGAATCGAATTCGGATGCGGAAGTGTGAGGGTAGCAGATCGTGTATAATAAAAATTTTCATAAAACTTTTAAAATACTCTATAGATTATATTAATTTATGCACGAATAAATTAATCACATTAATTTATTAATTAAGAACTCGAATAGGAATTATATCTAGTGATTGATTAGGATGATAACTTGAGTTCTTTGATCTCGAACAACGACATCCAAAAAAGGGAAAGCCACTCAAAATGACGATGACAACAGTTGCGAGTGAAAACATCCACCGGCATGTGCACAGGCAATGGAGGTGTAAATCAATATGGGAAAGATCTTACCGTGTTTGATCCGGTAGAGGACAACGGTTGATCTGCTTCGACAACGGCCAAACGCAACTATAATAGACGTCGTTGTGGATAGGGATACCAGCACCCATAACAAAAACCTCCGTTCCAGGGAGCACACTTTGGAGGTCAGAGACGGCGTTTGGCACTACATCGACTCAAGATCACGGCCAATGGAGGATGCCGGTCCACTCGCGTGGGATCGATTTCTCACGTGTTGAATCTCCGAAGGAGACGGCCGACAACGGAATGTAGTCGGGATTCGCTAAAATTGGCAATCTGGGATGGGTTTGAACGAGATGTACATGTAACTTTGTTCATCGGGGATGGGTATTTAGGGGATGAAGCGATTTGACCGTCGGTAATGGAACGCTGAATAAGAATATGGACTGCTGCCAGGAACCCAACTCGAATCGTCGGTTGATTTGAGGGGAATCTGTTGGCTTTTTGCAGAGCAGAGCGGAAGCTTTCTCTTGAGAGAAGGAGCAGACTAACGAGAAGAAAAATGTCAGAAAATAAGAATCCGCACTGTAGAGAATAACTCGAGTAATGCGAGTTTGAGGGGTGTATGAAATTCACTTACTTGAGTTATTACTCGAATTTCAAATACAAGTTTTAGTTCCCAAACACGTATTTCAACCTAAAATTCAACTCGAGTTGGACTTACTGAGTTTAATCCACAAAGTAAACGCCCCTAAAATGAAAAAATAAAAAACAAAATAAGATCAAAAAGTAGAAAAAGACATACGGTAGAAACATTCATAAAATAATAAAAGTAAAAAAGTAAAAAAGAATAAAGAAAAAAATATAAAAGACTACTATGTAACATGACAGTTTGAAAAGCGTTTTAAGAAAGCATTATAGAAAAATGTAAAGATAATTTTTAATATAATAAAAATTTAAATGAAAAATAATTAAGTACGGACACATATAAAAGAATACGTTTATTGGAGCAAAGTGAGCAAAATTTTTTAGAAAAACATTTACGTAAAAAGAATAAAAAAGAACAAATTTAAAAGAATAAAAAATAAAATGTAAAAAAGGGCAAAAAGAAAAAAAAAATGAAGAAAGATTGAGAAGCCGTCACGTGACACTGTAAGAACTTTTGACTTTATTAGGTACGGTTAGATTTTAAAAATTATACATTTACTTTTTTTATTTATTTCTTACTGAGTTGGGTGAACGGAAGAGTCAGACTAGAGGAATGGCGAGGTAACCCTCAGACCAAAGCAGACGGAAGAGGCGTATGAAGTTGGGGTTGGGAAGTCGAATATTTTGTGCTGAAGAAGCCCTTTTATCGTCTGCAATTGATTTGAGTCTTTGAGCAAAATATAAACAAAAAGGGTAATTGAATTGGTCAGGAATCCAATTCCTAATCGAAAGGAGGGCTTTCGTTTTTATTTGCATTTTAAATAGGGTTTGAAATTTGAATGGATTGGAGTTTCGTACATAAGACATGGGAGAAGTGGGCTTCTGCAAATGTCGGCGGGACTTCTTCTTCTCCTCCTTCTTCTTCTTCTTCCTCGGAGCCATTGAAATGCGCATTTCTTCTCAACTACGACCCATCCGGACCCTCACGCTTACTCTCCACCATGTATTCTCGTCGTCTCTCTGTCGTCTTCTTGTTTTTTCTCCTTCTTTCTTTGTAATTGTTCTTTTCTTTTAAAATTTGTTCCTTGTTTGTCTGTGGCAGTGCGGAACGAGAAGGGAATGTGAATGGGAACGGGAATGGGATTGAATTTGCCCAATTTATCGACTTCATCAAACGTCACAAATTTCAAACTGACACCTTCATCATCGCCTCTAACCAATGTAATCTTCTCCTTTTCTTCATTCTTATTTTTGCAATACTCATTTATTTATTTCAAACTCTGCTCTTTTTATTATTATTATTAATTTTAATTATTTGTGGTTGCAAACATTACACATTTACATAGGTAGGTAGAAAACTGGTATGATGTGAAATGTAATCCCTTGTTTTCGGTGTTGCGTATATAATATAATATATTTCTGCAATTTGGGATTTGAAATGGACAGATGTGGTGACATCAATCCATGAGAACTGGTTGAGTGCAAGGTGCATCAACACGTCAAAGCCTGCAGGTGAAGGTGCCGTCATCATCCTCACTTGTTCCTTTATCTTGCTCGCTCTGTGAGTCTCTCTCTCTCTCTCTCTCTCTCTCCTCACGCCCTTGTTTTCCACAATTTATTCGCTTCATACGATTTATGATCATAAAATCATGTGTGTTCTTTCTAATTCAATTTTACAAAAAGATAAAATAAAGAATGGATCTTTCGAGTTGTTACTTCTTTCTCGTGAGTTTGGCTGTAAAATGGCATTCGTTTTTCCACCAGGTATGATGGTTCTATCGGCTCGGCATCTCGTGCTATGATGGCTGCTGATCAACTCGCCTCGCAATTAGGCTAAAGAAATTTGTAATGAGATGTTTGTTTTAAGAATTCGTCTTTAATTTTAAATTATAATTTTTAATTTTTTTAGTATTTTTTTTTATAAAAAATTTAAATTTTAAAACTTAAATTTATTGTAATATGATTTTAAATTTATCAAGTAAACGTTGCTATAAACTAGTGTTACTCTTCAGTCTTCACTAGTCTAGTCCGTACAGCAGACAGATTCAGATGAGCTCAGTGTACTCGCAAACACTATTATTATGAAATTAATTAGTCAAAGTGCAAAGGAAACATTTTATGCAACCATGGGAATAATACTATTATTATGTTGTTCCCTCCCAAGACTCCTAAGTCCTATCCTATGTATTGATGAGCTAAATAATACTATTAGAGCTGTTTGTTTTAGCTGAGGTGAGCTTCTTCAAAACTGATACAATCTGTTTATGTATTTATTTATTATTTTATTTGAAATTTTTGTCCCACCCCTAAGCAAAGCTTTCATCTTCTACATACGTAAAACCGCAATGATGCTTCATTAGAATCTTATGCTAGTACATAAAACCCAAAGAAAAAGAGTGCAAGATCAAAGCTAAGGTTGGAAGAGAGAAAAAAACAAACAAACAAAAGTTGCTTTACCAAAAGATGAAACGTCAATGCCGGAAGCCATCCAAATCAGACACGTAGGACCAAAGAAGCGCAAGATTTTAAGAATTCTTTTTTACATTTTTGAGTTAGGGTAATTTAAGTGATGATCTTAAGTTGAGTTTGAGTTATAACTTGAGTTGAAGTTGTAATTTGAATTTGTGTTTGGATGTGCACATTTGAGTTGTGATTTGAATTGAGAATCTTTTTTAGTTTATTTTTTGGTGGGTCAAAACTTAAATTTATATTTAAATAGTATTTTAATAAACATTCAATGGTGATGAAAATTTTTAATAGGGTATATGGGTGAGATTTTATTCGTCTTTTTGTTGTGAATGTACAAAAAAAATCATCTAAATCAGAATTAAAACGAAAAAGTTATGACATTTTTAAGAATAGAAAAAAATATTATTCATTAACTTGAGTTTGAGTTTATGAACTTGAGTTGAAAGGAAATCTTGAACTCGAATTTAGCCCCAAACTCGAGTTCAAACTCAAATTTTACAAACGAATATAAACTTAAATAAAATTATAACTCGAGTTCAAACTTTTTATGAGTTTCGTCGGAAAAGAACAACCTTTAGAAACCAAAGCCAATCTTGTAAGCCATTTGATTCTCTTCTCTATAATAAATGGGTGGAACTTTGAAATCAATAGAGTTAAGGTGATCAAGAGTAATGGACGAACCAGGTTTATATCCCCAAAGGCACTTTTTTGCTGCGAACCTCTCAAATGTACATCCTCATATCATATATGTTTGGCCTATATGTTTTCTTTAAAATAAAAAAAAAAAAAGTTACTCTTAGAAATGGTTTTTGTTTGGTTCTTTTTAACTATTTTAAACTATTTTTTAAATTTCCTAACAAGTTTACAAATATCAAAAATCTAAATAGTAAATGGGAATATAAAAAGAAAGAGATTATTTATAGTTGTCTTATTAAAAATCTTTTCAGCAGAGTAAAACTTTCGTAAGGAAAACAAAACGTATGCTCAAGATAACTAAACATAAGATTTTTTTTCAGATTACAAAATAAACATAAAAATCAAACAAATAGATAAAACAAAAAAACATCTTGAAGTGATATAAGTATAATTATATTATACTTATTTTTAAAAATATTTTTTCTTAAAAGATATATATGTTTTTTAAAGATACCTCTAAATTGGCCGGCCCATGTATCTAAGTATGAAGGCCCAACCCAGCACGACCGACTTATGTTGGTGTACTGGTCTGGGCCTTGAAACAGTGTCAGATTGTGCCCACAAAAACCAACGCTGCACAGAGAGGGCTTTGGTCGGTCGATGGACCTTCAAACATGGTAATCACAACAATAGAGAAAGGGTTATATGAGAAAAAATGGGAAATACTCCCAAACTAGTACCCAAACAATTTCTAACCCTCAAATATTAAAGGCTCGTTTAGTTCACTGATTCGAGTTGATATGTGATTTTATGTGAGCTTTTTACTGTAGTAAAAAAATTAGATGTGATTGTTTCTCATAACTTTTTACTGTAATAAAACTCGAATTTTAAACTCGAATATGTGAAATGAACGGGGCCTAACTAATTGATTTCTACCCTTTTTACAATTAAAATAATCAAAATAGTTAAATTAAACATTTTTAAAATTCAAAGTCACCCTCGGTGGTTCATTGGTAAATATAAGATATGTCAGTGGTCTCCCATCATCGGCCGGCCTAACAGTCTCTGGCCATAACCTAACATGTTATGTTCCATAACTTGACAGGTTACACCTGCCGCCGGTCATAACCTGATAGGTTATGGTCCATAACCTGATAGATTACACGGCTGTTGGTGGGTCTCCGGCCGGGCCGCCGACCATAACCTAACAGATTACATCGATTGCCGACAGGTCTCCGGCCGGACGCCGACATAATCTATCAAGTTATGATCTGTAACCTAACAACTTACACCGTCACCAACCATAGTCTATCATGTTATGATCCATAACCTGACAGATTAGGCCGGTCGCTGGCGCCGACCATAGACTATCAGGTTATGCTACATAACCTGACAGATTACGCCAATCGCCAACTTCCAATCACCAACGTCGACCATAGTTTGACAGATTATGATCTATAGACTACCAGTTTATGCTTCATAACCTGACAACTTATGCTTCATAATCTGTCAATTTATGAGATTGTGATCCATAACCTGTCTGTTTATAATCTATAAACTTTCAGATTATGTTCATAACCTGATAGATTATGCTTCATAACCTGTCAAATTATTAAGCATAATATGCTGCATTATGTTGTTTTTTCAACAAATATCACTAAATTTACAGCAACAAGAATAAAATTGAAAAATTCACACATTATTTCCCTGCCATTGATTCAAATATTATTCTCCTGATTCTATATTGTCAGATTATCAAAATATCAAATAATCCCAAGTATTTTCCAATGTCTTTTTTTATCATTACCATGCAAAATAATTTGATTGTTTGTATGCTTGACTTGTTTGTTGGTTTTGCTCTACTACTATGATTTCCTTGCATTGTTGAGCACATAACTAAGAGCACTTAGCCATTTTGTGAACTTAGAGAAAGTTTATGTGAATTTCATGTTTATTAAGATCTCACCAGACTCTAGAACTTGTTTGATTATCACTCGAGGTGAAATCCCAGGCAATTTATCACTAAGGAAATGATTTAGGCCATTTTTAGATCGTTTGAGCCATTTGAGCTTACCCTATATAATAATATCCCTAGTCACCTCTTTGAGCCTGATTAAACTTTTCTTTGTCATCCACATTATTAGCTTAGCCTTTAAATAAATCCTATCATTCACCCTTTCCCTTGAGCTTGTTGATTATTCTAGGATGCACGTTGAGTTGTGTTTGGAATTGGAAGGTGTATTGATATTTTCTATAATTTGTTTGATGGCTCCAATGAAATTATGTATTTTTCGTATTAATCTAAAAAAAAAAAGAAAAAAAAAGAAAATCCAAAAAAAAAAACAAAACAAAACAAAAAAAAAAAGAGAGAGAAAGAAACAAAGAGTGGAGACAAGAATGTTGATGGCAAATGGCGGACGTATTGGGATATTGAGTTAGAAGTTCTACAAGAGGATCCTAGAGTAATTGATGAGTTTATGAAATTTAGAGCCTTATTGATATCCTTTTATCCTACCTTAATCCCTAGCCATTCAATTCAAGCTTAATAAAGACTTATTGATCCTTGGTGGGTTGTTGACCGACATTAGTGGAGAGTGATAAGAAAAGTAAGCCTATAGAGTTCGAAAAATCAGAGATCTACCTTGATTCACTTAATTGCATAAACTAATCTGAGTTGCATTTGGATATGTGTAATTGATAATTCACACACACACATAAGGAGTCTTAGGTGGGGTTGAGATTAGCATTCGAGTTGAAATTCTAAACTTGCAAAAAGTTTAAAGTCTTTCTTAAGCTGTAACTTATGTGAGATCTCTGAGGCATTTTTTTTTGTGAAACAACGCCAGGTCAATACTCAAGTAAGGTTTCATTTATTTATGTTTCCTATTATTCATGCTTTCATTTCTTTTTAGTTTTCTTTCTTTCATTTTTGTTTTGCTCGAGGACTAGCAAAATATTAAGTTTGGAGGTATTTGATGAGTGAGTTTTATTCGCTCATTTAGTATCATTTTACACTTAATATCTAGTTGGGTTTTAAGGTTTTTGTTAGTTTTTATGTGTGTTTTTATTATTTGTTTGAAGGTTAGGTGAAAGTCTATGATTTGGAAGGTTTTGGATAACTTTTGGTGGAAAAAGACAGCAAACATAGCGCTTAGGCGCTAATTTGTAGCGTTTTGGCACTCAGTTTTACAGAACCAGGAATTTGGGTTGAATGGGTAGCGTTTTGGCGCCCACTACAGCATTTTGGCGCCCGTGATTTTTCACAGCCAGCGCCACAGCGCTACGACACGAGAAAAGACGCGTTTTGAAGGCCAATCGTGAGAAAACTTACCCGTTTTGACCCTAATGCTTGAAAACCTATAAATAGATGATTCTAGGGCAATTAAAGGGGACTTTTTAGACTGGAGAGTGACGGCTGACCTTTGAGAGGAGATTCAAGAAAAGAAAGGAGAATTGAGTACGGAGAAGAAGAACGGCAAAAATCCGGAGACGGAGACGCTTCAATTACTCCAAACTAGTTATTTTCTTTCATTTCCAATGATTAAGACTTTGTTTAGGAATTTATCTTATTTAGAGATTAATTAATTTCTTTTTCTAGGGCTACGATGTAGCCGGATTATGAATGTTCAGATTCTCAATCTTCTTTTTAAGTAATTGATGTTAATCCATATATGCTGAGTATTTCAATTTATTCTTATTGCTTGTGATTGTTTGGCCAACTATCACATGATTTTGTATTTGATTTGAGATTGAGAAGTGATAATTAAATAAGCTCTTAATTGAAATACCGTGAGTTGTTCATAGGATAGAGATATCTGTGATGCTTGTGCAGTTCTTTTAAATTTCTTGCACTTAATGATTTTCAACAGGTTTAGAAGTCTGACAGAGATGTAGAGTTTGCTTGTTGGATTAATATTATTGTTGCTTGAGAAAGAATAATAATTGCTTTAGAGAAATTGCTGTCAGTATAGGATTGAATGTTAATTTTCTTGAATTATGGGAATTTGAACATGATTAATTTTGGTGAAATCGGAAACCCTAGAGTCTTAATCTATTGAATTTTATTCCATTGTTTAGCGTTGTTTGATTTATTTAATCATTTTAGTTTTACCTTACTTAATTTTATAAACTCTCTTTTCGATTATTCAAATAAAATTAGGGTTAATATAATTTTGGTAATTAGTAAATAAAAATCCTTGTGGGACGATATTCTTATTCACTATTATATTACTTGATTGCGATAGCATATACTTACGTTACGATTTTTCACAACAGTATTTCTAGCACTAACTATGAGAGTAAATTCGGAATAAAAAATGCCTTATTAATCACAAGTAGATATCTTTATAGTATTGTATAATAGAAGATATTTTTAGACCAAGGCCTTGGATAATAGATGTAATTACGGCCCCGTTCACTTTACCAATTTGAGTTTAGAATTCGAGTTTTGCTACAGTAAAAAACTCTCATAAATAATCATATCTAACTTTTTTTTTACAGTAAAAAATTCTCACATAAAATTATATCTCAACTCAAATCAGTGAAGTGAACGGACCCTTATACGAAAAATTGAAGAATTTTCTTGTTTGTTTGCATATAAGTTAGTATTGCAGAGGCAGAGAGCAGTGTGTATTGGGCTTTTTGTTTGTTTCGAATGTTGTGAAAGAGAAGCCCAAAAGAGGACTTGTATGATGGCTCTGTCGCTCTTTCTCCCTGTGGCTCGTGTTGTCAGCGTCAAAACATGAAACGTGAAATGCGGTGCGAGTGAGTGGAGTGAAGACCAAGTACAACTCGTTTTGAAGTTGCCAGAAATAGAGGCTTAAAACACGCCCATTTTCCCATTCTTTCCGATTCATTCAAACAATGTTAGATTTGTTTTTGCTTTTGCTTTTGGTCTGTCTCTCCTAATTGTTCTCTTTTTTCTAATCTTTTCTTTTTATTCACCCCAAAAAAAAAAAAGCGAAATGGGCCAAACGCCTTCCCTCTCCGATCGATTGAGTTGAATTTTTGTGGGAGTGGAAGAGGCCATGGGATCCTCCGGCAGCAAATCCAAGACGGCGTCGTCTCCGTCTCCGTCTTCGTCTGGTGGCCAAAGAAGAGCTCGATCTATTTCTAAAGCCCAGAGAGTATTGCAATCCTCTTGCCTCGGGACCACCACCAGATCTCATCATCACCAACACCCTGTTCGTTCTTTCGTTTCTCTTCCAATATTCTTTTCTTGAATTTCATTACAAAATTTGTCTCGAAAGATTCTTTTCTCTTTTTTTTTTTCCCCTACTATTTCATTACAGTTAATGAGTAGTACTTTCCTTATTTGTAATCATTAAACTAGTTTAAGTAAACTGAGACAATGCTCATGTTTCATCCAATCTTATTTTATATAATAAAATAAATTACCCAATAATAATAGTATGCTCATACATTTGTTCACTACAAGAAATAAAGATAACCCAAAGCTGTTGTTGAATTGAGATATTCTGTAACTAACTGAATCATGTTATTGTTTCAGGTTTGTGATAATCACAACAAAGAAAATGCAAGCAATGGTCAATCACATGACCCGAAAATCGAATGCTACAACAACAGAAAGGTTAAGGATGGACAACACTCCGATGAAATGCCTTGTAACATAACTTCAAGTGATGGTATTGGTGGCAGTGGTACCACCTCTGGCCAACGACCTCCGTCAGCTCGATCGGGTCGCTTCCTTTCCCGATTTAGCTTCATCCCTGGTAATGTAAGCTTCAGGCTGAGCAGGGCAAACAGTTTAGGCTCTTCCAGGTCTTATCCAACATTTTTCAACAACGAAGACAATGCTAGCGGAGGGCCCGCCGCTGGTGGCTTTGTCAGTGGGGATGAGTCTCACCAAGGCACCGAATTGCTTCCGATGTCAATGATTAACCCAACTCCTGCGCTCTGTTGCGAGGATTCTTCCGCTAACTTGCAGTTAAACACTAGTCGAGGCGGTTGTTCTTATTGCTCGGGAGATGATCAGGCAGGCTCATATGTAGCTAGAAATGGTAGTAGTGGTTCAGGGATTGATGGGAATTTGTGCTCGCCGAGAAATCTTTCCGAGATGGAAAATGTTGGCATTAGAGTTTCTGATAGGATTGCTGGAGCTAGAGAACCGATTGAGCGGAATGTTCGTTTCAGTAGAACATTAAGTGTTGGAAGACTTCGTGATAGAGTTCTCCGCCGATCATCATTATCCGACATATCGTTTTGTCCCTCATTAGTTCAACAGCAGCAACAAGTAGGAGAAGTGAGAGATACCGACGCCTGGGAGGATCAGACTGGGACATTGGCATCTGAAAGTAGTACTGTAGCCTCCCCAAATTCATCTGCTCACCCTTCATCCAGTATGTCAAACTCATTGTTCAGGATCCAAGATTATGAGGTCGAAACGCCTCCATCCAGAGAAACACGGTATCATGATCTTTTGGAGCATAGATCAAATTTCCTTGAAAGGAGGAGGAGAATACGATCTCAGGTTTGTATTTGTGCACTTTTGGTGTGAGAAATTTTAGCAATGAGTGAGGATAGGAACATTCTAGGGCTTTCAAATATCCATTTTATTTGCAAAACCGGTAGACCATATAACTTGTAGGTTAAAAACCAATCGCTAACAACTTTTCTCCCAAGAGGATATCTGTTGTTGCCGTGCTGGGTATTTTGCATTCCGCTTAAGAAATTTACTACCTTTGTTGTTTTGAACATTTGCACGAGTACTAGCTAAGTAGCTATTACAATTCACTACCTGACGATCTTAACGGCTCCAACATTTGATGTAATGGGATGCTGTAGGTTCGCGCTCTTCAGCGGCTGGGAAGCCGTTTTGAAAACGTGTCTGGACACGAGAGGTCCTGCATCTTATCTGGTCAACACAGAACAGGTCGTTGTACTTGTCGTGCAAGTAACCGGGACCCCCATTTGAATGATGATACCAGTGCCAGGGCTAGCATATCCAGAATTGTTATGCTGGCTGAGGCATTATTTGAGGTAATGCTAACAATAACATGTGGTAAACCTCTGTAACAATAGCTTTTTTCACTACCTTTAATATAAGTTGAATATTTTTGTTACTTAATTTAATTAGGTTCTGGATGAAATTCACCAGCAATCTGTGGTTTTATCATCCCGACCTTCTGTTTCTTCTATTGGATCTGTTCCTGCACCTAGTGACGTTGTGGAATCTTTGCCTGTCAAGTTATATACGAAGTTGCAAAAACATCAAAATGAGGAAGTGGCACAGTAAGTATCCAAGTCTATTTTCATTTTCACTAATTATAATTTATAAGTGATGGAGGTAAATTAATAAAGTTTTTGTTTCTGTTTCGTAATACAAACATTCATCTGTCTTATTATTGTTATTATTATTATTTTTTTCCATTCATTTACTGATTAGTGTTCCTTTTACATTTTATAGTAAAACAGCAGTCAAGGGTGGAGCCATTTTGCGGGCTCTCTCGAATCTCGATTGCTAGCACAAAATGAATTTTATACAAAACTAGAAGTAGACTTTTGGCTTTTCTCTGTTAGGAAGCAAAAATCATTGTGAAGAAAGCACAAGCATCATGCATCCAGTTAGTGGGCATTTTCTTTAGAATTTCTTCTTTTGTATTGTGCTACTGGAACAGACAAAAAAAGCGCTTACTTGAGTGAGTGTTGTATGCATGGCAGGGTATGTCCATTATGCCGAGGAGATATCTGCAGATCTGGCTCATTATCTGCTGAAAACTAAGTTGGACAGTACTCGTTCTTTTCTTCGAAACAACTTTCGGGAATTTTGAAGGCGGAAATGAATTCGGAAACATTGAAAAGTGTCCGTCTTGAATACGATGCTCTGGGAGTTACAGTCCGGCAATTTTTCTATTAGTATCGGTCAATCCTTTTTCATGTCATTGTCGTCCATAATTTGCTGCTCTGATTGCTTTGTTGTAGTTTTGATGCTAGCGGAAATGGGCTGCACTGGTTGAAACATAATTCAGCTGCAGAGCCAGATTTGGAAGAGAGAGTTTGTTGAAAGGAGGGTCAGGGATACTGTGAATAGTGAATTATGATGAGCGGAAGCCCTGTTGTTGTACTTGTATCCTAATCCATTTTCATAAGCTTGTTTGTTAAAAGGCTTTGCTCATTGAAGAGCTAAAGCAATTTTTTCAAATCTTTTACCGGGATTTATTAGGCTATAAGGTTCAAACAAGTTAATTGAGTAATGCTCTCTGTTATTTATTGCTGCTAATGATTAATGTCAGTCTCACGACTTAAACTGTTGAGATATGTACATATTATTAACTCTGGATCTCGTAAGCAAGATATATATTATATAAAGGATCGACACAAGTTGAAATGTTTGTAAGAAATTTAGGGCCTATTTGAAAAAACAAAAAAATTTATCATCCGAAACTAAATTTATGATTTGAAAAACAGGGGTGAATAAAAAAATTAAAAAAAAAACCTTGTTTGCTCGGTGTTTTTGAAATCAAAGAAAACTTGAATGAATACCTCAAAACACTCTTTTGAGTCCTTTTTCTTGTAGAAACAGGAAACGCTCATCCAAAAAAGGCTCCCATGTATCTACCGTGGAAGGAGAAAGAGGATCATAAGTTAATGGAGGAGGAGGAGGCGTGACCGTTTGTTTGTCAAGATGCAAGTGCAACAAACAAAGATATTAAGGGTCAATGGCTTCAATGTTCAGCATCAGTTTAGTTTGTCGAAATTTTCAATTTTCAATATTTAAAGGACATATTTCTTATTCTCATTTTATTTTCTCATTAAGGACTTATTCCTAGCCAACTTTAATTAAGTAAATAGAAATGAATGCTTAGAGAGGGTAAGCGTGGACTTCTTCTTCTTCTTTTTTTTTTTTTTTTTTCTTTTTTTGGTTGATTTTTTGATTTCTAATTTGTTGATGTGGGACTCCTACAAAGAACAATTAAGTACGTAATTCAAGTTGAACATGCATGCATGATTTTGGTTCATCAAATTTCACTTTGCATTATGCGGTCGTAGACAAGCTCAAATCAGAGACAACGAGGGCATAAACAAAATTGCTCGTTCACTGAATGCATGAAATAAAAGCACGTGACAGCAATCATTTACTGTCCAATTATCTTACATTAACGCTATATTACATAGACAACATCTATAACAGGGCCGGGGCTAGTTTAGGTCACACCAGATATGTTGTGAACCTAATAACTTAAAAAGAAAGAAAGAAATTATGGAGAATTTGGAGGGGACAAACTGATACAGGCTTCTCGACCAATGCACCATACTCGCCGCCGACTTGGTGTGGAGTTCACACTCAGAAAGGGGCTTGCTTTTGCGTCACTACAAGAATTAGATTCCATATCAAAACTACTGCTGGCCCTTGATGAAGTTGACTCAGAGCGCCGACCATCCACTCGATCATTATCAGTTGTTGTCGTCAACTTATCACGATCTGAGTTGTTGTTGGTGAGACTAGTTATAGACATCCAAGCGGGAAAACAAGAGCTTGATATTGCCGAGGACACGTTTGGATTGACTGAAGCATCTTCTCTCATGATATCTCCAATTCTGCATAGTATGCTGAATGCAAGGTTTCCAAGAGCCCTTGAATAAGCTTCTAGAATTGAACGACGCACACACTTTGCTTTAACCTTCCGATCAAAAAACCGCGTATTCAAGCTTATTATATAGTACAATAAATCATGTCACGTGCAGTCAGTTCATTCTTGTTGTACTTTTTGTCATGTGACTGTTGTCTTTAATTTATCATTAACACAAGTACAACGATGGATAGCAACCTGCTTTAGCCTAGTATGAAACTCACCTTGCCATACTGAATTTTCGTGGCGTCGAGAAATGACTGAGGTAGGTTGGGGTATCTAGTCTTGAGCTGCTGTGCAAGAACTTCTGCTCGGTCCAATAATAGCTCCATCTCATCATGCTCAGACACTGGATCCTTGATCATGAAGGTCGACCATGAAGTTCGAACAGGGGAGTTACCACTCACTTGCTGTGTTTGGCGGATTCTCTCTCTCCACGAAAACGCTGCAGCTTCTAACCCGTTAACAGTCTCGAGCGCGTTGTGCTCGGATTTTATGTTGAGGGAATTCAGCATTTCCTCTGCTGAGCTTGATTGATCGGCTGTCAAGACCGTGAAAAGATCGTCGCTTAGGCTTGCCTTTCCAGACTGTCAGCAGGTAGACACAGATATAGTCTTCATCTATGAGCCAAGTTACTCAAAGGGGTACGCGTGAAGGATGAGATGACATTATGAATGATTAAAGAAGAATAACAAACTGAATACCTTGGCAAGTGCGTCCCTAATAATGGTAGGGACAGGCATTTCGAGCAAAACACTTTGGTTGATGGATCTGGCGGCTTTGAACACTTGATAAACAACTCTACCCTGATTAGTCAACTTGTTCCTCGCTGAATCAGACATCCCAGTCTCGGGTACTTGGGGAATTGGGAGCCACCATCTTTTGCTGCTCTTGGCTCCGCTAGTTTTGCTCCTTCCTTCTGCCCGACTGCCTCCTTCGGCATACCAGAACTCAGTGCTCACCATCGAATCAAGGGTCTCCTATCGAATAACCGAATGGTGAGTGTTTTTATACACAAGCTAAGAAAAGCGTCTATAAACTTGTTATTATGCGGGTAAAGGTAAAGAATCACCTACAATGAGCATGGAATCCAACTTCTGAAGCGCAGGAAGATTCATGTGGATATCCGCACGGGGTTTTGGGGTCATTATCTGCCAGCAATGAGAATATTATATCATTAGAAAAGATAGAATTTCTTAATGTTGGAAAAGTGATTTGTCTGAACAGATTAAGATTATACCTCAAGCATACGACCGTTGGCACCGTTTTGTTTAGCGGGAACCAACTCAACCATAAAGTTTGTAGGGGAGAGCAGCCAGTCCATTTCTCTTATCCACTTGCTCTTCCTTTCTTCAGGCAGAGGTTCCAGTTTCCACAACTCTCCAAAAACTGTGCCTGCACCAATCACCATACATTTTTATTATTCTTATTATTGCGGTCGTTGTTGGAGAAAAACCGACAATTGGACTGCTTGTTTTCGATGATGTTAGCAAAAAGACCGGATGAAGGAATTGTTCAAAAGACCTGCCAGAGTTGTGATAGCATTAGACAAGGCCAAAGCAGAGGTGAGGCCCTTACAGCCTCCAGTAACGTCTTCACCCAACAAGAGATTGGCGAATTTCTCTTTCATGGTCTCCACGTCCGAGAACTGAAGGGAGTAAGCAGGTTTTTCTTTGACACAGAAATCCGATTCATCCAAATCCAATTCCAACTCCTGCTCATGATCCCTCTTCCATTTTGAAGAGAATGATCCGAACGCGTCTTTGCTTGAGGAACAACAGCTCAAAGCATCGTCGTCATCCAACGAGTGATCAGTTCCTCGCCTTGTCCTTGTTTCGTTTCCGTATCCTCGGCTGTTGAGAATGCAATTCTCAAGGCCATCATATGTCATGATTCCTGTCATATTTTGTGATCCCGATAGATTAGTTTCAATTCCATAACTACTACTTCTTATACTAGTTCTTCTAATATAGATTTAGCAGCCAAGTTAGATTTTAGATCACTGCCATGTGATCTTTGTCGATCTGTGTGTTTAGACAAAAAACTTCTTTTAGTGATGAGTCAATTATTTGACACTAAAGTCATGCCGACATATGACAAATTTCAGATCAAGAAGGAATTTTGAAATTGGAAGTCCGACAAATGCGAATTGGACACGATCTCCGCATTGATTTTTTAGAAATTGTAGGTGTACGTAATATCCACAAGCAAGCAAAATGTAAAGGGAAATAATTTTGTTATTATATTAATTGTCTTAATTCGACTTGGGCATGTCTTCAATCTTATTTTTTGGTCTTTGGGGTCTCTTTCTGATACCATGACTATGACTTCTAAGCCACCCCTCTAATAGTAAACTGTGACACTCAACAGAATCAGAAAAACCCACACAAAAAAAAAGAAAAAAAAAATGAGACCTCATTCACTTCGTGAATTCTGAGTTTTCAATTCGAGCTGAGATGTGACATTTTCTGAGAGTTTTTCACTGTATCAGAAAAAGTTAAATGTGACATTTTTTAAGCGCTTTTAACTGAAGAAACTTAGAACTGAAAACTCGAAGCAACCAATCAAAAATCAACACAACAATTAGGGAATCTGGCTTAATTAAGATTCGTCACTACATTCCACTCACAGCAATTGCCCAAGTTCATAAACAAATTAGAGGATGTTTGGTATGAAAATTTGTGCTATGGTTCGTAGCTCACTGCTACAGTATTTTTTTTACAAAAAATACATGTAAATTGAGAATAATTTTGAGTTGTGTATGTGAGAAAAAAATACTGTATTAACAAAATTAAATTTAAATTTTTATAAAAAAACACAATCACTCTAATTTTGTCCGGAACTAATAATAGCGCTTGAAATTTGGTGGTGTTGGATCATGGATGGATATATTGGACTTAAAAAAGGGAAAAAAAATCTGTTCATAGCAGAGATATATATATATATATATATATATAATGAGAGAAGCACAAGATTGGAAATTTGGAGGAGATTGATCAGAGCATGAGAATCCCTGCTGCAGTAGAAATGAAATGATGTACAAAATGGAAAAAATATTTGTATTGGTTTTGAATTTTCAGAACCCATTCATGAGAAAAGACAGTTTTGCAGTGAGTTGTTGATTGTCTCATTCAGATTCAATCAGTTAGGAAATGGCGGATTAAACGTGATGGAAGTAATAATTAGGACCCACCAAATGGGAAAGGAAAATTCAACCAAAACAAGACAATTACTGAGGAAGACATGACAGGCATTTTGTGGGGACCTCTAAAGCCTAAAGGGAGGGTGGTATTGACAAATCACACTCACTTTTTCTTTAACATTTTGATCGTATCTTTGTATTTTTACTATTTTTATTTTCTGGCTCCACACTCAAAAATAAAATAATAAATTAATAAATTAAGAATGTGTTTGGTATGGTGATTCATATCCTGATTCGAATCATAATTCATGATTTACTATAATATTTTCTCTCATAAAAAATACACATAAATTAAAAATAATTTTAATCTCATAATTCTAATCTATAAACTAAACGTTTCCTAAAAGATTTTTTGACATCTACCCAATGGTAAAAAGCAATACAGAAAAGTTGAAATTATGGGTTAGTCATATAGCCCCATGTGGGTTTCACGTATTAAGATAACCTAGAGTAGCCCCACAAAAAAAAATAAAAATAAAAAATCAACCAATGTTTATGGAGCAAAAAGGGGGGAAAAAAAAAGAAATATGACTTTGAAATGAAAAAAAAAAAAAAAAAGTTTAAAATTGTGGGGTTTGGTGGTGAACATGGTGAAAGGGCAAGGAAGCATTAATGTCGTGCTCTGAAAAATAATAAATGGAGAAACGCTAGTTTCGATGCTTTCATATTGATACATATATATATACACATATATATACACACACATATATGTAGATCTGTCTTATTCTCTCTCTATATTTGCTGTTTGCATTTGGCAGTGAATTGTTGTTTTCTCTATTAAGCATCACTTGATTGTTCGTTCTCGTTGTGCCTTGTGTGCATTGCATTTGCATTTTTATGTTAAGAATAGCTTGTTAATTTGTAATATGGACCCCATCATTACGTATTCTTTCTTAAATTTTCAGCTTTTCAACCTTCAAATGCAAAAAACAATGCCTGCCTATGCCCGCATAGTCTAAAACTTGTTTATCTCGTTGGCTTCATAATTCATTTGTACGTGTCCCATGAGCTAGCTAGCTAGTCGGTCAAACATATTGGATTTAACTATATATTAACATCACATTAGGATGGATATAAATATAATAGTTATTTGATTGTATATATTAGTTAAAATAAAATAAAGAGGATATATATGTAATACAAAATTATTAAGTGTAATAATGAAAGAGAGACTTACTATCATGCTCGTCAAAGTCGAGGCTGATTTCTCTGTCCCGTGTGCAACATGCAAGTCTCCTCCTCATCATCATCTTTTTTTTTTTCTTTTCTTTTCTCACTTTAGAAAGCTCCCAAAAGCAATAAAAGCTCGGGCACCAATATATATATTTCCCTACTTATACGCCAAATTACACGTAAAAATAGTAATATTATTTCTAGTTTCTCAATTTATACAAACGTTGCATCTAACATACCCATATTTATGTAAATCGTTGTTACTATATTAACATTGCGTAGTTCTGAATTTTGACAACGACATTGATCAATTTTTTTTCTAATTTAAAAAATAAAAGAAAAATGATAAATATGATTAATGGGGTTTGTGTTTCCCGTGTCCTGTGATGGATGGAGAGACAGCGGCCCATTGTTTTTCAAATGCACTCCAAAATCACCAAATACTAATAGGCAGGGCTAATTAATAATAATATTAATAATACTAAAAGCCTAGTCACCAAAAGTCAAAGCATTCTTCTTAATTTATTATTTGTATTATTATACGCACTTAAATATGTTCTGTCCATGTGTACATAATTATGTGTCGAAATATATAAAAATATATATATATATTATTTTTAAAATACATATGTATGTGTATATTATGGCACGTGCGCTAACGGTTAAAGCTACCAGCAAGAAGTTTCAAGCGACGAGAGCAACTATTAAACAACCATCTTTAGAATAATATGGTGCTGCCTATATCAGTCAGACTAATTTGACGGTTGTGTTTCCATCAAGAGTCCGTTACTCATGTCTTATTTTATCTGAAATTAATATGTATTTTCAAAAAATAGATAGAAAAAGGGGGAACTCCAAAATCACCAAATACTAATAGGCAGGGCTAATTAATAATAATATTAATAATACTAAAAGCCTAGTCACCAAAAGTCAAAGCATTCTTCTTAATTTATTATTTGTATTATTATACGCACTTAAATATGTTCTGTCCATGTGTACATAATTATGTGTCGAAATATATAAAAATATATATATATATTATTTTTAAAATACATATGTATGTGTATATTATGGCACGTGCGCTAACGGTTAAAGCTACCAGCAAGAAGTTTCAAGCGACGAGAGCAACTATTAAACAACCATCTTTAGAATAATATGGTGCTGCCTATATCAGTCAGACTAATTTGACGGTTGTGTTTCCATCAAGAGTCCGTTACTCATGTCTTATTTTATCTGAAATTAATATGTATTTTCAAAAAATAGATAGAAAAAGGGGGAAAAAAAAAAAGGAAAAACAAAAACTCACTCTTGTAAGTGTGTGCAGATAAAGAAAAGTTCTTCAGAGTTGAAACGTTTTAACAGGTCTAATGAGTTCCAACTCTACCTACTATGACCAAACAAAGAGAAAAGAGTAAAGAGTAAAGAAAAGGACAAAAAGAAAACGCATCTTCTAACTGAAATGGGTTAAAAGATCCTCAACTCTTTTTCTTTTTTTTTTTTTTTAAAAAAGAAAGTAGTAGAAAGTAGGAAGAGTGGTGAACTTTATCGAAACACCATCGTGGAACTCGAAACTCTTTTTGGGTATTATATCATATGAGAATAAATTAGATAAGCAAAAAGGGACGAACTTAAAAAAGAATTAATAAGGAAAAAAAAAAAAAAAAGAAGTAGAATGCTATATATGTCGGTCGGAATATGTCATTAATGCCAATTTGAAGTTAATTCAAAGAGTAAATATGGACTGTACGGAGTACCAAAATTAAATTCCACATTATAAAATGCCGTAGTTACTTTGCCTATCACATATTTGTTACATTTTGACAAAATGAAATCCTACACAGCAAACTTTTCTTTTCCAAAAAAAAAAAACATATAATCTCACTTTTGGTTTATCATGATGGTCAAATTTTTTACAAATTCTAAAAGGGAGAGAATGTTGATGAGAAACAAAAAGATGGGTATCTTCAGTAGCCAGCAAAAAAAAAAAAAAAAAAAAAAAAAAAAAAAAAAAAAAAAGAAGAAGAAGAAGGGGTACCTGTAATCGGCCAAATCATTATTTAAGTATGGAACAGAAATTAGGCATGAAATCAGTGGGGGAAAAAAAAAAAACTGATGAGGGTACAAACCTTGAACGAGGTCTCTTCTAAAAATTAGAGCTGATCAGTCTTGCCAAGTACGCTTATTATTGCCAACCGCATCAACATGGTTTCTGCTTAAATCAATATTGTAATTATATTCGTGATCATCAGATTCAGATACAGCCGCAATTATATATAAATATATATATATATATTCATTTGGAGCATATATACATGCAAGTATAAATTTATATATACATGAGCATCGATCAGAAAACCATTAAGAACAGTACTCGCACTATATATACACACATTACATGAATAATATACATATATATATATATATATATCTTCTAAAAATTAGAGCTGATCAGTCTTGCCAAGTACGCTTATTATTGCCAACCGCATCAACATGGTTTCTGCTTAAATCAATATTGTAATTATATTCGTGATCATCAGATTCAGATACAGCCGCAATTATATATAAATATATATATATATATTCATTTGGAGCATATATACATGCAAGTATAAATTTATATATACATGAGCATCGATCAGAAAACCATTAAGAACAGTACTCGCACTATATATACACACATTACATGAATAATATACATATATATATATATATATATCACCTGCTGAACATGCTTGGAGCACACATGAATACTAAAGTACTGAAGCTTCAAAGCTGAATAGATGATCTTCGTCTTCATTCGTACAATGGAGAAGAAAGAGAGAGGGAGATAACTCTAACAATAATAATATTAAAAAGAAATATGGAGAAATGGAAGGTATTTATTTATATTTATAACAGAGAGAAAGAGATGGGGACATTGAAACCATTTCAAGCTGCGCTCCACTTATCATTATAACTAGGTGGGTCCTACTCTCTTCTCTACATAATTCTCTTTCTTACTCGCCATCGTTGATCCATTTCATGATGATCAGAGAACAACGCAAGAATACCTCGTGATTGGAAATTGTTGGGAGGGTGTGGGGACGAGTACCCACTAGCGCCGATAATTTCTAATTTCAAATACTTGCTATATATATATATTGTGTGTGTCTGTCTGTAGTGTCTATTTTCTAATCAGATCCGAAAATTCCGATTTACATCATATTATTCAATTCAAGTCTATTTGAGTGACATTAGATTCATACATACAATATTCAACTCTATTACATTATTATGTATAGTATTTACCTAACATAGCATAAAAAACCACAAATCCAACAACGTTACACAATTCTATGTGAGATTATATATGTAGTACTAAAGCTAAAAAAAAAAATAATTATAATTTTAAACTCATGCTGAGAGTAAGAAAAAAACATCTTAATTAACCTTTGCAACACACCATTAGTAGTCACGCATGTTTAGTTAAGTAGTTTAGCCGAGTTTAGCTTAATCCGAATAAGTCTACGTTTAATGAGACATTTAATTAGAACTGAATGGACAATTCGTTTTAAACTAAACGGCTTAATTCTGAGTTTATCTCTCTCTTTAATTCCGTTATTCAGACCTATCTTCTACAGTGTTTCTACTCTCACATTTCACAATTTATATAAATTGCATTTTTATTTGCATCTACGGATAGTAGAGTTTCACCTAACCAAGTGGGGTGTGGACTGGGCACACTTAACATCTAATATATATTTAACACAATCCTTTAATTGCGCATATTAAATAAATATTTCCTATATATATATATGCTATCCTTCCTCGAGAAGTGTTGGTTAAATACATACATGTATATATATAAGTTCGTTTAGTTCGTTGATTTAAATTTTTAATTTGAATTTAGATGTGGCTTTATGTGAAAACTTTTTACTGTAGTAAAAAAGTTAAATGTGACTGTTTCTGAGAGTTCTTTACTATAACAAAACTTGAATTCTAAAATTAAATCGGTAAAATAAATGAGACAATAACCTTTCGCAGCTTTCTGTTTAGACTATGCCACCGTTTAATTGTGGAAGTGGATAATCCACGTCATGCGGAGTTGAAATTGCCGGAGCCGAATGTCAATTCTCCATTAAATTAAGGTATACGGAGAGCCATCAAAGTTCTGCAATTTCCAACAGAAATTAAGCAAATACCTAGCAATGGTAATAGTATTACACTTGATTTGTAAAAATAATACACATATCTAGATATGCTTTTTTTCTATCATCCCAAAAACGCAACATATAGAAGCAAAAAAACTTAAGACGATAATCAATAAACATAAATGTTAATATTGTAAATGTCTAGTAGCAATCATCTTTGAAAAATAAATAACAAGGTTCTTAAATAATAAGTTATAAGATAAAAACCAAAAGAATAATTAATAATAAACAATAAAATATCATCTTAAGTATAAGCCAACAACCACCATTGAAGTATATTAACTTTTAGCATCGGGATTGGCCTCGCTCTCTTATAACCCTCAATTTAGAATGCATTTCTAATTAATTAGTTGCCCAAAATCTCAAAGCTTCAGTAAAATAGTAACCTATCACCTAGTGAGTGAACATATATAGCTATATATATATATATATATGTTAAAATAATAATTTTTTAAAAAAAAAGGTTAACTAATAACAAACAAAGCCGAAGCACAAAAGAAAATTATGGGAAGAAGAGAGTATCCCACTAAGAGAAAAAGAAAATTGAAGATAAATTTGTTGTTTTGTATTGGGATTGAATTGATAGAGACTTGTAGTGTGGGGCATGAGGGAGACCTATTTGGCACCAAGAAAGTCGCCGGTGGAGAGGGGTTTTGTCCAAATGTCTCGTCGTTTTGCTTTCGCTTTCCAAAATTAAAATGATTTTTTGTTTTTCTAGTTTGGTGGTCTTTACTTGTAAAACTTGAAAATTATTTATGGATGTGGAGCTTCCACTTGGAACCCCGCGCCTTGTATATTCATTCAACCTTTGTCTGGCCGCTCCCTTCTAATTAAAACCATCATTACAGAGAGGACTGCTATTCATTTACTATTGACGCATTACCCATCATACTTTTGGTAAAAAGTACAAAGGGGTTGCGTGTGCTCCTTTAACTGGTAATTTCAAGAGTAAGTTCTGTCATTACTAAATAATGAAGGATGATATGTTTATTCATCGATTTATATTTTTTTTTTAAAAATAAATAAATTTTAAATATTAATATTAAAATTCACATTATTTATATTTAATATGTCACATAAATTTTCATGTTATATCACGTATCATTAGATTTAATTTAATAAGCAAAATACAGTCCTACGGAAAAAAGTGCAAGACTCCAATTCGATATGCCTCCACAACGTGTTGTTCCCATTTCTTTGTCATGGAAGGAGGCTTGGAATAATGATAATAATACAAATAATGATATAGCATCCATGTGGGTTGGGGAATGGAAGAAGCTTCGGAGCAGACACTTTTTTGTGTTTTACAACTCGGCTCTGAGTCTGACAACGTTTAGTCTTGGCCTTACAACACATGGTATAGCCTCGTAACAAATAAAATCATAGCAGTTGAAGGAAAATTATTCTAAAATTTTGCTTCCTCACTTGTCACATTGTCCATGAACCCACCCGCGGCCAAAAACAAATACCTGCCAGGACTTTTATCGTTGACCTATGTGAGTACAAAGTAGATTAAAATGCCTCTTATTTCATGTACCAGGCAGTAGCAAAAGTAGATCAAAATGCCTCTTATTTTATGAACAATAGTTTGCATCAAAGCACAAATTTCTTCCCTTGCTTCTGAAATAATAAAAATAGTGCTAGTTACTAGAAAAGAAAGCTTCCAGTTAAATAAGCAAAGGATCCTAAGTCCAACAAATGTGAGTTTAAACATTGGGTCCATTCCTTCCCCACCCAATAAAAACTCCTTTCATTTCATTGTCCCAACGGTTGGGACTGTTCTTGTTAAATCTCAGCCCTTTCAAGTTCCTTTCACTCGAGCGATTGACTTAGAATCTATGAAACTGTAAAAAGAATTGAAAACAAAGAAAGTTTGTGTTAAAACTCAAAACCAATCTCTTCCGACTTTTGATCGAAAACCAGCAATAAAGAACAAAGAAAAACAGCAATTGAAAACACGAGCACACAATCACCAAATCTTTTACGTGGCACGGATCAAGACAGATCCTACATCCACGGGGACAGAAGTCACTCAAACTCACAACTTAGATCTCTCCCCAACACCCAATTACTCGCTTATTAATGCACTTTTATATAACACATATACCAGTGGACATAAACTGCCAGAGACTAACTTGAAACACACAGTTACAGTTTTGTAACTGTTAGGATCCTTTAATAATTTGGTAAGTTAGTTTGATTAGTGGGCTGTTAGAGTTTAGTTAGTAGTGTGTTAGTAGTGCTTAGATGAGAGTTAATAGTAAAAAAAAAAAAAAAGGAAAAAAAAGAGGCGGAATTAAGAGTTAGAGGGGAGGGGAGATCATTTGGGATTTGGGAAAACACTTTGAGAGAGCTGATGGTCTCTCAAATACCACCGAGTTAGGAGTTCTCCAGAGTCTTCGAATACTCTAGCCTATCCTCTTGGCTGTTCTTGGTTTTGGTTTGTAAGAGCTGGTGTTGAAGTTGATTAATAAAAGTTTCTATGATTTCCTTCCAATTTCTAGTCAATTCTCTAGTTAGAGTGCGTGTGTGTGTTTTGGGCTGTTTGGCTGTGGAATTCCAGGTACCTAATAGTAACTAACAGACTGACATAGAAGTAAGATTGTTTAATGAGCTGATGTATCAAGAATGATTAATGCTTTAACCAATAGCCAACAGTTTGTTTTCTATGGAATTTAATCAAACATTTAGAGGGCAGAGACAAAAAATTAAAAAAAAAAAAAAAAAAAAAAAAAAAAAAAAAACCAAAAACCAAAAACAATTTTAACACACAGGTCTTCTTATCCCCAAATTTCAACAACTTTTAGAACCCCCACTACTAAATCAAAATCAACTTCATCACATTGACAAATAAATACGCACTTTTTCTCCACATCCAAAATTTACGATCAACTCATTCAATATTTCTTTTTTTAGAGGACAATAATACCCTACCCAATCAATTGTTTTTATTTGGTTTGAATTTTAAAAAAAAATTAAAAACAATTAAGTTAATTTGGTTTCTGGTTTTACTCCTAAAATAAAATAAAAAATAAAAAATAAACCAAATTAACCTTTTTTTTATATGTTCTGCAAAACTATTTATATCCCACACAGTTACCAAAATATAATCAACTAGTTTATTATAAGAGACATTCTCCGGTACTCTAACATATCGGTAAGTCAGGTTTTTTATCTGTTAGATCTGCATAAAATCACGTCAAAGTTAAAAAGTACGCAGATCCAACGGTTAAAAAAACCTGACTTACGCCAAGTGTACCAAAGAATCTCCCTTATTATAATTGATTATGTTTCACTGCATATATATTTATATTTATTTATTTTGAGAAGGAAGTCAAAACTCAAGGTCCCATTTTAGGTAATGTTTGGTTCATGGATTCAAAATTATAATTTATAATTCTGATTTTTAAAATTCAAATTTTTTATAAGAGAAAAACACTGTAGAGAACCATGAACCATAATTCAAAAACAATGACAGATACATGAAACAAACATCCCCTTATTGATTTAAAACAGTCAGACCGCAAAAGCAAACAAAACGACTGAATTTGGCAGTGTGGGCAACTCTATTCCCCATTCTAGGAGCAGAGTCGCAACGACCACCCTCAACATAAGAGAGAAGACTCCAAATGTCGTCAATTACAGGCTCTTCAACGGCAAATGAGAAGCTTCCATTAATAGCCAGAACCACGTTTCAAGCATCAGTTTCAGATACAGTCACAGAGATCCCAAGGGTTGGAGCAAAAACCAACCCTTCTTTCTCCAAGGGCAAACACACTATGCTACACGAGCCGAGAAGGACATGACAAAACGAGTGGCTAAGCACCCTTGATTATGAACAACTTCAGAAACATCACAATCACATATCACTGCTCCAATACCCTATAAAATTCGGGGTTGCGTTTTACCGCTCTGCTGCCTGCATCAATTCAATTTAAAGGACCCAACATGAGGATCAGTCCAGCGAGCAATTCTAGAAGGAGGTGCAGGAGTAGCCACACTATCCGTGGTTCGACAATTTTGGTAATCGGCTAAAGATCGCCCAGCACTCTCTGGAACTTTCAGTGAACTACAACACTTCTGATCGTGAACTTAAGATTCCTATTAAACCAGATAGGCCAGGCCACAACACAAAAGATTTCAAAATCTTCACCACAAAAAAGATCCTCAATATTATGAATTTATGATGGACTTGCTTGTAAAAGTATTTTGTCTCATGGATTTGAATATTTTATTTTTGCTACGGACGGTTAATTTCTGACTTTTCTGCTATAAATGGCATACTTACTTCTTGAGTTATGGATGTTTACAATTGGGAAATAATTTAGTTCTAACTATGGTTAACAATAGCCTGATAAATAGGGATGTCAACGGGGCGGGGCAAATGGTGCCTGACCTGCACATATGGGTTGCAGGGCGGTGTGGGTCGAAACACAACCTGCTCCATTTCTATTATTTAAAAAAACAAAAAGGAGGAAAATATTCACGATGACTGAAGGAGTGTGAATAAGGATGTCAATGCGGCGGGAAAAATGGTGCCCCGCCCCGCCCCTCCCCTAATGGGCAGGTATGACCCGCACATAATGGTTTATGGCACAGTGCAGGTCACGATCCGTTAAGTGGTGGTCGGTTCTAGGCTGGACGGGGCGAACCAAACCCGCCCCATTTACATTAAAAAAGAAAAAAAGAAACCCAAGCTTGAAGGTTAAATTTAATCGAATCCTTCAGACTTTCATTCCTCCTCTTCTCCCTCGAATTCCCAAATTCAAATTCTCAAAAATCCTAACCCTAACACTAACTCTCTCTCCTCACCTTCTCCAGTTAATTATATTTTGATTTACAATTTTAAAGTTGAAAAGGTAAATGACATTCTTATCTTGGTGTATTTTGCAGCTTCAACTAAAATTACTTTGAGTCATGAGGATCTTGACAAAGTTTGGAATCTTTTGTTAGTTATTTTGTGTCCTACCGCACTTAATTTGTATTTGTTAGAAGTAACACAAACCGTTACTATTGAGCTTAATTAGTCTCCTATTTATAAAAGAGGAAAATTTAGAAGTTCCATGTTTCTTGAAAACTAATAATTAGCGACTAAAAGTGATGGTTACTATATTGTACATCTTACCCTACTTAAAATTTATACATCACGTAGTTTTTACCCAACTTAGCTCATCTATTGCTTTCTATAATAAGTTTTTCATTAACAAGCCTTTGGAAGGAATATTTACGTTGTGCAATGATCAAAATCCTAATGAAAAGAAACTTAGTACTTGAACATGTAAGGAAAAACGACGTTAGCGCTGGGCGGGGGGAGGGGGTGGGGGTGCCCTGCATATCCGCTGGTTACTGACCCGCACCGCCCCGCTAAGCAATGTGGTGCGGGTCAGCTAAAATATTAGTTCAAGCCAATTAAAAAAAACGTTTGGATTTAATCGATTAACTGGTTTGGTTCGGTTTGAAAATCTCCAAATCAACCACTAGTTGGTTTGGTTAACACTGACCTAAAATAAGCAGTTTGGTTTGGTTGCGCACCCTTATACAGTGGTACTAAAGCTGCAAACTGGTGAAAGGAATTCCACATAAACCACATATGCACTTTGCAATTCAGCTAAATGTGATACTACAAGTCCCTAAACCTAATTGTAATGTTCAATGTGGGAAATTATGAATTTGCTGAACATAAGACTTTTCTTCCACAAAGCAGCAAATTCCCAACTTCGTAAATCTAGCTACATCATAAATCTTGCCCCCTAATCCTCTCGACAAGAAAGTTTTGAGCTTTGTCATGGTTTTTAAGAGAAACATGGAGATGCTTTCTCACTAAGAATGTTATGATGTCTCATTAGATCAGATCAGATCACCATCACCTACCAGTAAGGATAAAGAGATTCTTGATATGAAAGAATTAACATATAATAGAAAAATAAAAAATCTAGATTCTAGGGAAGCAATGTGGTTATCTGTTTTCTTAAAAAAATATACTCTTGTTTATTGGGGTGTGCAGCTTAGCTTCAAAATCCTCCTAAATAATAACTCCACCCCCACACAATGCAATTTCGTTATTTGCAGATTGACAAACTTACAAGACTTTGTAAAATACTGCATATAGTCAAAAACTATTTGAATGTTCCTGAAAGTAACTAACCCTTCAAATATGACTTTGATGAGCAGTACAATCAATGAACAGGTATGAAAAGCAGCAAACAAACCACCCGATCCTTAGTTGTTGAATCTGACGAGAGAGCAAAAGGAAAAAAGAGAACAAAAGCAAATGCAAATATTTTTGGCAATATAAAACTAAACTGCTTTCTTACTTACTTTTATAAGTGGAAGAACAAACAACTAACAGCAGCCGTCGAGATTAAGATTAAGAAGCAGCAGCAGTATTAGTGTCATCACTCATCATCAGCATCCTTAATCTTTTAAGTTCTCACTCATTACCCTGACATTAGAAGTTGTAACGCCACCAAACAAAGCCATCCACATATAATCTCTCTTGAGCAAATCATCAAACAGGTAATGCGCAATGCGAAGAATCACCCCAACCAAAAGTTAAGGTTCGAGTCACCTTGAGCCCCACTTAAAATTGGTGCCATTCTCCTCCCCCTTTATAAAAAAAAAAAAAAAAAAAAAAAAAATCGAACAGGCAATGCGCAAGAAAGCAAGAGAAGAGTCAGCAATAGAGAAATGATAAAATACCTTGGCAGGGCTGGAGTTTTATTCTGAGAAAGAAGGAAAGTCTTGGTGATGAGATTGCAGAAGAGATAAACCGAACTGAACAGAATCATTATAGCAGGAATCGGATGCGTGATCTTGGGGTACTAGGCCAAAGGAATACAAAGGATCGACAAGACAAGATTGGAAATGTTATTCTGCTTCAGAATAACATTTCATTTAATTCTGCATAATAACATTTCACTGCTTGTTATCGCATTGGTCGTGATCTTGCGGTTCCTCTTTGTCCGCAGTTGGGGTTTTGGTCGTTCATCTCACTATTTGAATTTAGAATTTAAATTTTATTATAGTAAAATATTATCAAAAACAGTCATATTTAATTTTTTTATTATAATAAAAAACTCTCATATAAAATCATATCTCAACTTAAATTTAAAACTCGATACATGTTTTGATTGATGTTTTCTGACATAATTAATAAACGGGTTGATACAAACACGACGCACTAACACGAATTGCTACCCTTATCTAAGACAATCTCTAATGTAAATGCTAACGTCGATCGTATATTTAACGTCAAAAAGTACGATATTGTATGTTATTTTTACTTTTATAATAATAAATAACATTATTTGAAATGCTAATTTTTTTTTCCACAATTATATTAAGTTTTAAAAATTGTAAAAATAAATTTTTATTTTTAAAATAATTAAAAATACAAAAATTACAGTTATTATATGAAAAAGTAAATATTTCAACCAATAGTAATTAAATACTAAATTTTTCATATATTATACTTAGTGAGAAATTTACCAAAAAGTATAATATATGGAAAATTTAACGTAACAAATAGTATTACTTTAAAGAATATTTTTTTACATTTAAATATTAAATTTATAATTAGCACATCATTTATAATAATGCATTAGAGATGCTCAATATCCTAAATTTTAAATGTGCTCATGTATCTAGACTTGGTAATTCAGTCGCCCATGTATTGGCCTCTCATGCTTTCCATGCTATGTTGGATTTTGCTCAATTAGAGGCCATTCTAAGATTTGTTTCTCCTTTCATTTTAGTTGATCCAAATGCATGGGAAAATGTAAAAATTTTATTGATCCAAATCAACTAAAATTGAAGGAGAAAAAAAATAGAATATCTCAAGATCAACATTGGGGACGGATTATTAGAGCAAAACATAAAGATTGTCAAACTGACCAGTCTTTAAAACTTCTAGAACCGTTTAGAAAGTATACTTAAATCATAATTTTTAATTCTGACATTTAAAATTTAAATTTTTTGTGAGAGAAAAACACTGTAACTGAATAAACTATTTGACTTTAAGTATATGAAACAAACGGGCCTCAGTTTTCAGCCATAAAGCACATGATTTCACTTTTTGATTCAATAGTTATTTAGGCATTGTTTGTTTTAACTATCTGAATTGTTGTTTAGGATTCAAACTGTTGTTTAAAATTCAATTGATGTTTGGTAGATGACACTGTAAGAACAATTCAAACCATTAATAATGGTTTAAACCCTTAGATTTTAGAATTCACCACCCCACAAAATTGTAATCCTATAGTAAAAACAATTCTGATTTTACTTTTTCTTTCTCTTCAACTTTAAGCTTAAAAATTTCATAACTTCTTTGTTTTAATTTCGATTTAGATGATTTTTTTTTAATGTGTTCATAATGAAGAGAGGAACAAATCCCCCATCCATATTGCATTTTTTTAGATGTCATTCATAATGAGATTTTATAAATTTGTTACAAAACTCGAATGACAATTTTCAACACTTTATCCAAACACATTTCATATTTATTTCCAATTCGAATTACAATTTATTTGCATATCCAAACACCAATTTGAATCACAATTCAAATCACCACAACTCAAAACTAAATCAACAATTTAAATGGTTGAACTAAACAAGACCTTAATTTTTGTTAATTTATTACTTTTTTGTAAAATGGCATCGTTGTATAGTCTAGAATTTATTGGAATAAAGAATTAAAAGAACAGAGAAAGGCATTTTTGCTAATTGTCATTGCGACAAAAAAAAGAGTAATATTAGAGATACTAACTCAAATCTCAACTCTTATGTATTAATTAGTGTTACATGTAAATTATTATTTTTTTATTAATAGATGAAATCTCTTATTATTAATTGACATCACAATATTAATTAACATTTGAGTCGATTCCTAACTTTACTAAAAAAAAAAAAAAAAAAAAAAAAATCCCATATGACTTGACTTGACCCATAACTCAATATATTGAAAACCAATTCACACGCCCGTTAAACAACAATAGAGCTAACCCCCCTTTTTTTTTTTAGCTTTTAACAAGCTTCTCTAAGAAAACAATATTATTTACGAAATTATAAAGTAATTAAAATAAAATAGGAAAAGTTGTTTCTACTCTCTCGCTGAATACCAATAATGTCTCTCATCATATGAAATACAATACATGTGAAAATAAAAATAAAAAATTATAAAAAAAAAAAGAATTGGAATTGGTCAGAGAGTTGGAATTATGCCATAAATCACACGACGTTATCACTCAATTACATTTAGATGGGGGGATTGGACGGTCTTCCTGATGCCAGCTCAATCAAATATCCTTAAAAGACGTTTGATTCACAGGATGCAATCTTCAATATCCTTAAAATACAAATATACGTGTGTGTTTAGTTAGATAGCCGTGACGGCGTCACGTGTCGGTGTTGCTTCCATTTTTAGCCTCTGAAAGCAGCATACGGTTGACGCAGAATTTGCTATTATCTAAACAAAAATAGTACTTATTCCGATCCGATAAAACCCATGCGCACAAAAATGGTAGGTGCGTGAAATTTTATCCACCTACCAACCTAACATAACCCACATTCGGTGACTAACGGAATTTTAAGGCTATTAAAATAGAAGTGTTGTTATCTAAAATAAAAGAAAAAGCAGAAGAGTTGGACAAGTATTCCCTATGTATAGACTCTGGAGCCAGCAAGTGCAACTGTGCAAATGTGGTGCAACAGCCCCACATCTTTGACTCTTCCAAAAACACCTCACTGTTTGTTGTACAGCCACCCTGCCTGCCTCTTAAGTTATTTTCTAACCCCCCACACGTTACGTTGGAAATTGATGCTAATAGATACCTTTCCTTTTTTCTTTCTCTCTTTCTTTCTTATTAAGAAGACAAACATTGCGTTTGACAATTTGTGCCAAAGTAAGGATATATCTGGATAAGAAGCGAGAAAAAGTATGCATTCATTCATGACCAATGCGACACACCCATGCTACAAGAATTGACTTTTGGAGGTGGGATAAGAGAAGAAAACTAGGGAAGAAAAAAAATAAAAACAAGGGGAGTAACTGTTTGGCATACAAAATAAGCCTCTTGTTGATTATATATAATAGGCCTCTGTCTCTGTGGCAGATACAAAATTTCACTCCCTCAGCGGCTCATCAGGAAATTGGAATGAATATTTTACAAATTAAACATTACATCTACAACAAGAAGGAAAAGAGAAAAAAGAGAAAAGAAAAAAAAAAAAAACAGCTCCCACATTCCCACGGGGCCTTCCTAGTTCCTGCAACTGCAACTGAAACTGAAACTGCAACTGATTGGTTGTCTGTCTCTCTAAAGGAATACGAGTATATATATGCCTTTCCATTACACTAGCTGCTAACTCTTTTCCAACTTCTACTGTTTAAAGAAGGGGAAATATATATATATATATATATATATGTGTGCTATTGCAATTATCACACTATACATTGATAATTAAAGAAATAAATGCTCTAGTAGAGAAAGAAACTTTCAAGGAAAAAAGTCAAGATAAATACACGCCGTAACAGTCTACTTCTCCAATGTAGGCGGCTTATACAGATAGTCATAGAACTATATATAAATATAATGGGATCAACTGCTACTTTCCATCAAACAATCTATCTCCTTAAAAAGAAAACACATATGTAATTTGTACCATGTTGGTGTTTAAAAACTAACAATTCTTATTTGTATCACTCCACAGCATTATAATTTATAATAATGGAACACGCTCAATGTTACTGGAAAAGGGGGGAGAAAAAAAAAGATATGATGCCATGAAGAAATCAGGATCCGAATATATTCCTTACAATCAATCAATCAATCAAATATACGATCATTCAATTTCTTCCCAAGTTGATGGGAATAATTCAGCAACAGCGACTATAAGAGAAAGACCACAGAATAAAAAAGAAACTTACTTTGCTAGTGCCTGCCTATAGTGGAAGAAATAAAAGGGAATAACATCTTCTAATCTAATTAAAGACGTGAAGAAAAGAAAAAGGAAAAAAAAAAAAGAAAAGAAAAGTGACAACCCACATAATGTATTTCCATTTATATAGAACAACATAAATATAATAGGCAAATAAAGAATACCATATTTGGAATCATAACAGAGCGAGCGACCATTCCAATAACGTTTTTGTTGTCTGGGGTTGGACGGAGATTTATCCAATACATTAATACTTTTCCCCTTTATCTAGTCTAGTCTTAGTAATTAAAATTCAAAGGACTAGAAGCTTCCCAGATCTTGCAAAATTGAAACGATTTTCCAATCTAATTTGTGCATTTCATTTCCATTCGTCGCAAATCCAAAGAGGCAAAACACATGATAAATTTCATTTGGACTGAAATCTAAAAACTCAGGAATTAGTCAGTCTGTCCGATTGATTGAAACAAGCAAGAATCTTTTTTTAGATTTTTATTTCCTGCGAATCGAATGATTTCCTAAGATTGAATAGTAAAATTTTTTTTCTACATATATATAT